ACAGACCCCTTGTCTCTCTTTAATTTTAACAAACTCACAAAATAAATTGTGACCGAAAAAATTATTTTGTTAAAAAAAAAAATTGAAGTATGTTATTTCGATATAAAAAATTTATCTCCTATCTCCTAGCAATGATGTTACTTTAAAAAATTTATTTGCTATAGAAAATTTGGTTTTCATATGTAAGAGAATAATGATAAATTAAGTCTATACATATTTTTTTTTCTCTAATTTCAAATAATAAAAAATTATGTATTCATTATACCAAAGAAAAAGAAAAAAAAAGTGTTTTTTCTTCCACAAATAATAAAAACCCCTATTCTTCATATATTTACATCCCTTTCACTTTTTTATTCCTGCTACCAAACAAACTATTAGATCCAACAACGATAACGATGAGGATTAAACCAACCGTTAATCTAGAAAAGGCGGCATTCACATCATTCATACCTACATAGGTGGGGCCCGGTATTCTATGGGGTTAATGATAGAGTCTTACCAGGATAATCTCTCCCAACCGTCAGATCATAAGAAATTATTTTTCAGCCGTCAAAATGAAGGTTCTGGGATTTCCTTTTCCTAGCCGGGGACGTGTATTCAACAAAGCACATATATCGTTCACGTGAATCTGACCTTCCACGCACACGTTCCCGAGCCCATTAGTTTCTGTGCAAATCAAATTTCACTCTCTCTATAGGCGCGTGAATTAAACTCCACTCGAATCCCTCCAATGGAATTTGTTTTTAATAGTTTTTTAGTAGGTCTGGTAATTTTTTTTTGTAAAATTAATAAGTTTGGATTTTGTCTTTTTTTTTTTCAATGGTAAAGATACGATCAATTAGACCCATCAAATTGACTATAATTTTTTTCATGACATGAATATAATTTATTTACCCTTGACTATGAATGATAATTATAAAGATTGGGTCTAAATTAAACTAATTTCAATAATATGTAATTATTTGATTTTAAAATAGGACACAATTTTTCAATAATTTTAACTTTCAAGTGTGTAAATTCTTGATTGAAATTGTTTGTATTATAATTTTTTTAATTTTACTTAACAATAAATTATCTATCATTCATTTAAGTGAGGCTCATTACATATAAATAAATGTTAAATTATTTATCAATTAATTAAATTCAATAAATGTGTAATAAATATAATCCAACGATGTGTTTTGCACGAGAAAAAAAAAAGTAGTTGAAAAATATGGGGAAAAGTGATTTTTTTCTTTGTTTGATTGAGTAAGGAAAATAGAGAAAAAAGAAAATGGGAGAAAGAATGAATCACCTCTGTCGGCTAATTTCAATCTCCCCAAACTCGGGCAGAAAATTGGAGAGAGAAAGTTGACATAATAACAACCGTGGTGAAAGAACAAATATATGTGGGATCCACTACTTTTTGTTCGATCCAACAGAAGATAATATATGGTTGAATCCACGGGCACAAATTTTACTTTTTGATAATTTGAGGGTATTTAACAAATAATATTTCTTTTTAAATTTTTTTATACAAACTAAAATAATATTAAATTCATTTATCTTTTCCTCCCTCCTATCAAACAAGAAATGAAAAAAAAATATATTTTCATCCTCTAAGAATGAAAATTTAATTCCTCTTACTTTAAAATCTTTCCCATTTTTCAACCGTTTTATCAAACATGATCATAAATTTATGGTAAAAGGCTGTGATGGGTAATTTACAAGCGCATTGTGGGAGCGTGGGGATGCGTTCTGATTTGTGTATATACGTGTGGGAACCATGATGGATTAAACAAATATTTGCTTGGCTGAAGGAAGATTCCAGAAGAATGTGGAAGCCCATTTGCAGAACCCGGATGGGGGGTGATTAAGACTTAATCGCTGTCATTGTAATACCGCATTCCACGGTTAATTGCTGATGGGATGTACTAATCAGCCCTTCATTTAGATGTGATAAGAAAACCATTTACCGGGTTTAAGGTCGGAGATCAACAATGTAAGATCGAATAAGAAGTTCTAGAAATGGTGTGTTACCCCCCTTAATCCTCCTATCGAAAGTTCTTGTTATGAGACAATTTGATTTGGTTATATTATAAATAACCATTGAAACTTACACTGACTTTGCAAAATGACTTGAAACTCAGCTTTTCAAGGTTTTTTTTTGGTATGTCATGTATAATTAGATTCATATAATATATAATTAAGCTTGTATCGAAATATTCTCATAAAATAAATTATGAATTAATATTTGAGCTTAATATTAAACTAATACCTAATAATTTTGTCTTAAATTACAAATCAATTCAAGCGTTGGCCATCCTAATTGGGATAGAGAAAGTTTAATTTTAATTCATTGCTCTTTCTTCTTTAGAAAAAGAAAAAGAAAAAGAAAAAGATTAAAATATTACAAAATAATAAATTTTATTTCAAAGAAATAATAAATTTTTCTCAAAAAATAAGTATACTTCAAAATTTAATACATTTTACCTAAAAAAAAAATATAAATACGTAACAAATAATAAATAACCCGATCCTGAATTTTTTTCCTGGATATCGTATTGCAACCCGGGTAAGCATAGGGTTAAAAATGGAAAAGTGAAGAAGAAGCCGGGGGGGAAAGATCACACTACCCGTTTAGCCGCGTGAGTGCAGTAGTTCCATTACAGGCTAGAGGTCCATTAAAAAGGGGAAGAATACGAATATATAATAATTTAATTAATTATCTTTTGCTAAGAACCAATTGCATGGCTAAATTATTATATTTGTTTGCAATTCTTCTAGTGCCCCATAATTACATCTCAAATTGACAGACGTGGCATTTGAGTTGTCCATATATTGCATGTCACATTTGTGAATTTAAAATAAGAGAGCATTATCTTCTATTTCATATGGTCAACTTGGCTAAATGCTGGTGAACTTAGTCGTAAAATTAGAAAAAATCAACTGCCCTGTTTGGATAAGTTTTTAGAGAGGGATTAGATTGGATTGGATTTATGAAATCCTTCTAAACTCAATCATTAGATTTTATTCATGAGATTGAACAATATGTTTACATTCAATCTCATGTTTGATAAGTGATATAAATACATGTATGACCTACAAATTAATCACAAAATATTTACTATAAATTTTGACTAAAAAAAGAAAGGACGAAGGGCAACCATGCATGGAACTTCTGGATTGTGTCTCCAGAGATAGTTGAACGAGTAATTCATCAATACTAAACCCACCTAAACTCACTCCCTTGGATTTGATGAATCCATATACGTGTTTTGGGGGCGGAACTACTTATAAAACAACTGCCCCCCACTGAAATTTGAAGAATAGTCTATATACATATTCATAGATTCCTAATTGCAATTAATTTATTATATTGTCCCCCCAAGTTCTTGAAAACTTGTAGAGTGACCCTAGCCTTTTTTTTATTTTTGATAAATTAGTGGTCCACTCACTCTCTTAATCTACTACAAAATATATTTTAGAAATGGTAAAATATACTAACCCAAAAATATCTAGGCCTTTCCAAAAAAATCAATTTCTTAAAAAGATTAGAAAAATATTAGGACATATTATCATAAAATTAATCAATTTTAGACGATTCTTAAGATTTGCAACCACGATTGACTTGAAAATGTAATATGAAAAAAATTAGTCATTGATTCATATTTTATTGAAGTTGAATTGATACTAAGTTTGATTTTCATACAGTAGTTAAGTTTTGATTTTTTATATTTCAATTGCAGAATTTCCTTATGAAACTTAATTCGATCCTCATTAATGGAGATTTGGGAAGATTTTTTTATATCAATTGATTAAATTTTTCTCTCATATTTTTGTCATTCTAAGATAAAATTTTAGCTCGATTCTATCAAAAATCTATATGATAATGTAGTTTACAATTCAAATCTCAAAAAGATAAATAAAATGACTTTTGCTATTCGCAGTTGAGATTCCTTTAAATTTTACTGTAAAATTAATCTCACGGCTAATATTAACAACCTAAATTTAATAGAAAAAATAGGTCTCTAAGGGTGTATTTGGAGTGATTTTTTAAAAATACTTTTAGAATAAGTTTTCATAAATACTTTAAAAAAAATAGTGTTTGAAACGGTCCTACCACCACCATCACTATTGCCGCTGCCGCCACTACCATCATCGCTGTCGTCGCCTCCACCACCACCATAGTTGTTACTGGCACCACCGCTGCCGTCGCCCTTACCCCACCACAGCAACCACAATTATTGTCACTCACCACAACCATCACTGTATCTTATCACCACCGCTGCCGCCCACCACCTCTCACCCTCACTGTAAATTGATACTTAAATTTTTTTATCTCTTTTTTATGTTTGTGATTTAATTTTGGATATGAATACAAATATGTTTATTATTTATCATTCTTTATTACTTTGTACTTTCAAGCATAAATAATAATTAATTATACAATATTTCGTAAATAAGTGTGCCCATCCAAAAAATTGTTACACCATCTTGTGATTTACCCAAAGATATATCCATCACAAACCTACTTTTGTTTTTAGGGTCTGCTGCATAAACCTCCTTGGATCCACCCTAAACTCCAAAAGGGTGTTCTTGGACATAAAGATTAGATAGTGGGGTCTACTTGATTAGATGGATAACGAACATCAAATAATCTTACCTATTCAAGTCACGACATTAAAGTGAAGCCCTCTATTAAGGTAAGTCAAAAAGTACCTTATCAAAGAAAACTAAAATCAGCATTGCCCATGACGACCAAAAAGTCAAAAGTAACTTATTTTCCACAGTTAGATTTTCACCGTAAAGACCTATCTGAGCACACGACCCGGACTAAAATGGTAAATAGAAAATCAGATTAAGGGTGTTTTGGGTATCTGATTTTAAGCAAAGAAAAGGACAAAAGAGTGGCACCTTCGCAATTTTCTAATCTTTCAAGGGCAACTACAAAGCAATGGGCTAGATTATACGGTGTCTAACGGCGATAAGCGATTGGTAGACAATTAAATAATACCAGAAAAAACGGACACAGAGAGAGATAGAGAGATAGGCGTCTATATAAACAGGCGGCGGCGTGCATCGGAAACAGGAGTTCAGACAATGAGCTGAGTTTGACGGTGGGGTTGATAGCCTACCGATTTGAATCATTGAAACCAGGTCATCGGAGAGTTAAAAGTTCGGTGATCGGAGATTTGCTGGTGAGGCTGACCGAGATAGGAAGCTGTGTGTTTGATGATATTTTGTCGCTGTTGTGTAGAGAGAGAAAGTTGAAAAAGTTTTGCTGCAAAAATGAACGGGAATGGATACAGCAGTGCTGAAGCAGAGTACATCCGGAAGCATCACAGGCGCGAGCCAGCCGAGAATCAATGCAGTTCGGCTATCCGCAAGCATATCAAAGCTCCTGTGCATCTCGTAAAGCCTCTTTCACTCTCTTCCTCTTTCTTTCTGTTTATATTGTTATTTTATATGTATATTTGTATATTTTTATTTGTGTGCGATTTGTGTTTTCCACTTTCTGAATTGATTGTTTGAAATGTGAAATTTGGATGAGATTTGATTGTGTTTGATGAAATTTCTGAAATATCTTTTTTAGATTTGCGAATTTTGAATGATTTTACTGGTTCGGTCTTGTGACGTTGAATGTCTTTTTGAATTTCGGTAAGTTTTATCTGTATTGTTTTCCTTTGTTTCGGTGACTTCAACTAAATCTAACAATTTTTTTCTTCCGTGTATATATTATTTGGATTTAGATAATCCTTTTGTTTAAGAAAATTTAGGGAAGGGAAGATAAGAATAATCTGAAGCTTATGCTTTATACTTTCTAATTTCCAGATATAGCCAAAGTCGAATTACGGTTAGCTCACTGGAGCCATTCGATTTCTCGCCTTTCAAATGTTTCTGAGTTTGAGTTCAAATTTTGGTTGGAACTTGAATCCATTCTCTGTGACTAGACTGAGCAAATGTTGGGAATTAAATGTTGCTGTAATCAGTCCTTAAATTCCCTTACTGCATTCTAGAGTTGTGTAACCCTGCCAAATCCTATGTTTTTTCTTGAGGTTAGGATATTAGAGTAGGTGACAAATTTGGAAGGTGATGTGATTCTGTTTGTTGGGGTGGAGAAATTTCCATAATTTGGAAATGGAAATAAAGATGAATAATTAAGTTTTCTTACTTTTGTGACAAAGAATGTGAAATAGCGACAGTTTGATCTTATGCTTGTCACTTCTCTCCTCTTTTTTTTTTTGGCCTGGATGCACCTAGGTGTATAAAAACCTCCCTCGTGAAATTTTGTGCTTGAACATTCTTTTGTGTAAATGTACTCATTTGTTTATTTGGACACTGGTTTGAATATTTGTTTTTAAGCTTGTTCTAATTAGTTCTGATCATGGGCTCTTACAACTTTTTATTAGGTTTGGTCTTTGGTGAGGAGGTTTGATCAGCCACAGAAGTACAAGCCATTTGTGAGCAGATGTGTTGTGCAAGGAAATCTTGAGATTGGGAGCCTAAGAGAAGTTGATGTCAAGTCAGGCCTTCCGGCCACTACGAGCACAGAAAGGTTGGAACTTCTTGACGATGAAGAGCACATTCTCAGCATCAGAATCATTGGTGGGGATCACAGACTCAGGGTACGAAATTATTTTGTTGTCTGTTCTACCCTAGTTGCTCATCCCCCCCCAAAACAAAAAAAACAAAAACAAAAAAAAGAGAGAAGAAAAGAGGACCACTAGTTTGATTTTCATTCCTTCAAACAATTTAAATATCTAGATTGCAATGTGCATAGCATGGGTTTCTTAGAAGTGGCCATTGCATGGTGTAGTGGTAATAGTTATGGATTATCTACCATGAGGTTGCGGGTTCACATTTTGTGCAAATTTATGCCAAAGATTAGGTGTATACCTAGCCTATAGGAATAATTCCTAGCACTCTTGATTGTCTTCATAACATGGGTTGTTCCGAATTGACTATCAAGTGGTAGCAGAAGTCATAATGATCTTATTTTCAGGCATAATGTTTGCATTCTGAGCAGGTCCTGAAATTACGAAGGCATTGATGCCTGCATGATGTAGTAACTATTGTGGTCACTTTAACATGCCTCGTATACGTAAATGTATATGTGTTCTGAATAGTCGACCAACAACAGTCTTACGATGGATGTATTTGGACCAGATTATCATCCTAAATCCTGCTTATTTTTGTGTATTGTCTGCTTAAGGGATCTGACTTCTTGTTATTCTAATATCTGAATTTTGTTGTTTTGTACCCTGTATTTCTGCACTTTGATGCAGGGATAATGAAACTGTTCTCCCCTCGATGATGCCTTGTGTAGTTCCTTCTTTATGAGATACTCTAGGCCAAATTTAAGGTCCTTCAGTTTGGCTTACCACAACTTCTCACATGATGTTACATGCTGAAAGTGTCTTAAGTTCTCAATTTCTCTATGAGACACATGCACACCCATTGCCATCTTTACATTGCTAGAGAAGGAGTGGGTTTTGGGGTACTATTTTTTACTCTTGACCAGGAAAAAAGGGGCTGCAATGATACGATTCATTGTTGCGTGGGACTGAACATTTGGGTTGCTCGGTTCAGATTTGAACTGAAAGTAGCTTGTGCTGGTTGGCCAAATCTGCATATATCATGCCATTTTTACAAGTCTGAGGGTCAATCATTCTTTAGACAAAGTTTGTTGTCTGACCACTGCTTCATTAGTGTTCCGCCATCATCTAAATCAATCTAAACCAGCTCTATAGTTTTTTTCAACCATTTTTTTTTCCTCTCAGAATTACTCTTCAATCATTTCCCTCCATCCAGAGGTCATTGAAGGAAGACCAGGGACTCTAGTGATTGAATCGTATATAGTAGATGTGCCTGAAGGGAACACCCAGGATGAGACCCGCTACTTCATTGAAGCATTGATCAAATGCAATCTCAAATCTCTTGCTGACGTTTCAGAGAGGCTTGCTGTTCAAGATAGGACTGAGCCAATTGATCGGATCTAGAAGTGGGGCTGGGCGGTTATGGTGGAGGCTGCCTTACCATGGATGAAGTTTCTTCCAAGCCTTTTGACATTCGGAAGCTTTTGGGACGGACTGGTAGTAGCTGTCTTTCATCTTGCATCCTCCTTTTTACTTTCTTCATTATATTCTCCGTCTTAGTTTTGAAGTTATGCTGGACTTGTGTTAGTATCTCAAGAATCACAAGTCTTACAAAGGTTTCTAAACACCACCATCAATGAAAAGTAAATGAAAGGCTAGGTCCTTCTTTCTCATTGTCTCGGATTTTGGCTATGGAGAGGTGTGGTATGCCTTCACCGTGATGCAAAGAGTTGGTGTTTGTCATACTGTTTTCCATGTACTTATTAGCTGTAGATTTTAGTTGTTAATAAAGTGTGGGAAAAGGTGATTTTATGGGCTGGCGATGTATTCTTTTTTGTAGGCTTGTAATTTCTTTGTGTTTCGACGCTGCAAATAATCGTCACTTATTAGTAATGTTATATATCATGTATTGAGGATAAATCATTGAGGGTTGCCAGGAAGTGCTTGTTATCTTCCTCCATCATATGCTTTTTTGCTTTACCTGGTTTTTCAGCACCGTATGCTTCACTTTTGAACTGGCCTGGTCGTTCTCCTTATGCTATATATAATTGTATGATATGACATGTTGTAGCAAATGGTGGCACTACTAAGGTAGGTTGGGTGTGTTGTTTTGGGTTTTTTTTTTTTTTTTTTGGGGTGGGGCGGGGGGTTATCAATTGAGATTGAGCAGCACCAAAACTTTTTTTGATTTTGTACCAACGGTTAAAGGTTAGAGATGACTAATTCTCTCTATTTGACTGGTCATTCATGTCAAGACTAGAATATTTATAAAGGATAAATTCCTCGTGATCTAGTCCTAAATCCTAAAAGAATTATTAAAATTCAAATTTAAAATATCTGAGTTTATAACTCATTTCAATTATCACTTGAACTATCTTTAGGGTAGGCACCAAAATCAAATCTTTTATTTCAATATTTTGAACCCCTCGAAGGACGTTAAAAGCAGAAGGCACAAAATAACCTGTAACTACACTGAAATAAACTCCACCGGGAATATGGATAGGAGATAAAATAGGTGTCTCAATAAACTTATTCCTCTCAACATTTAAATAAATTCTTCCTACAAATCTGAAAATTAGTTCTGCAGAAACTTCTACACACAACATGGTAAAACTTTGAACAATATACGACTTAACATGAATGTGATTATTGTCTGTTATTCTGAAAAAATCGTTTTGGAGTAAGGTGGAACTGTAATCATGGTACAAGGACAGACATGCCAGGGGAAGATGGGAGGGGGAGGTCAAGGGGGGCGATTGCTAGTTTACATATAATTAATTGCCTGTGGTATTTTGCGCACACTGTACAGAGCTGCCCACCATAATTGACAAGACTACATATGAGAAAAGATCTAAGCTTACGCCAATACAAGCTCCTCTTCTTCTGGTTGAGGCAGTTGTTCTTGATCAGAAAACCGTGCTTCTCGTTGGGGAAGAAGAATGCGCTTTATTTCTTCTGCACTGAGTGTTTCGTACTCCAGAAGTGCATTGGCCAGTGCATGTAATGCCTTCTCATGCTGAGGAAAGAAAGAGAAGGGGGGGGGGGGGGGGGGGGGACCACTTAGTTAAACCAAAAATAATTGGTCCGTGCATGTATGTATTGCTCTCTCATGGGACCATTGCTTGGAAAGCGAATCAAGTAGGGGCCAACTGACTGTAAAATTACAGACTACCATAAAGTGCAGCCATCTATTGCACCTGTCAAAATTAGGGCTGTATCCCGGTCGCCACTCCCAACACGCTCGAATAATGGGGGCAAAACTAGTCATGGCCCATTAAAATGCGATTATATGAGGTGTAACAGACGTACCTTCTTTAGCAGGGCTTTCACACGATCATAAGCCTCTCTTAGGAGTTTAACCACCTGCAGCACCAAAAAATTATTTGTATTCATTTAATAGAGCTTAGTTATAACATAATAAGAAGCCTGAATTCCAACAACGTACTTCAGCATCAATACGTGATTGCATTTCTGAACCAGGCCGCTCTTTGATATTAACTGGCCCAATTGTTTCGCTCATCCCACAAGTTGATACCTAGCAAAGAAACGGATGAACATCTCACTATGACATTGTTACAAGAAAGCTCGACTTTAAATGAATATAAAGAGTAGCATAGAGGCTAAGCCTCCAATTATCCATGCCTAAATTCACTGAAAAATAAAAAGAGACAACTTACATGCACAAACTGTATCTACCAGATCATAAAAATCAAACTGAGATATAAATATAGCGTTCATAACGTTTAGAAACTCTCACTAAGCCACCCAACAACCCCCCTCCCACCATCCCTCCAAAAAGAAGAAGAAAAAGAAAAATAATCACTAAGCAAGATCAGCAATGTCATAAATTTTCCAGTTTTACAAAAATATAGATCACGAAAGCAAAGGAATACCATATATTGGGCAAGCTCTGTGGCTGTGTGAAGATCACTACTTGCTCCAGTGGTGATATTGTCCTGGCCAAAGATAAGCTCTTCTGCAACTCTTCCTCCCATGCAAACATCAAGGCGTGCCAATAATTGCTTCTTGCTTATTGATGTCTCATCACTTGAAGGAAGTTGTGTAACCATTCCCAAAGCAGATCCACGTGGCATGATTGTTGCCTTATGAATTGGATGTGCACCCTCAGTATTGAAAGCAACAACTGCATGGCCACTCTCATGATACGCGGTGAGCTGAAATACATGGGAGTAATGTCACCTACAGCAATTATTCTATGCAGGAAACTAGGATAATGAAGGCGGAACCTGTTAACTGAATTGCTTACCCAATAGGCTTTGATATGTGAACACAGAAAAAAGAATATCAAATCAACATTAAATGATCCCTACTATCCTATTTAAAACATTTCATTAATGCACCACATTTTAGCCTAACTTCCGCACATGCACCATATTCTTCTATCTGCAACAGGTTCTTAAGATCATCAGCACATCAGAATTGTGAACTACAAGATCTGTACAGTTTCTTGTTCTTGTGGTAGGCCAAATTGTCCTGGGAATTTCCCCTGTCCTGAGAACAGGTTATAACCATGATTACAAAAATCCTAATATCCAAACTGAGTGATCCTCACCCGTAGTCATTCTGGGTAAGTCAATTCCCTTCTAGATAAGACCTTTGTATAAGGGCTAAAGGAAAGCATCATAAATTTGGACTGTACCTGAGACTTCAAATGTGCACAATTAAACATCAACTAAAGCTAGCCTAGGAGTCAGAGCATCCAACCCAACACCAACTGGCAATGAGTAGAGAGGCCCCTTAAGCATATAAACTAACCTGGAGTGATCCTAATTATTCAATGTGAGATACAAGCTCTCTTTACACCGCCCCTCACGTAAGATCCAGACTTGCACGAGGAATTTAGAGTATTTTAATATTAATTTAATTGTTTTGTTTTTCCCTACTGTAGAGGGTCTCTACTCTACATCTTTATGTTTCCATGTTGTAATCACACAATTAGCTGAAGTAATATTTCTTTCTTTTTCTCCTCTTTATTTTGTCGAAACTTACAGAGTTAGATAACAAACAAACCACCATGCATACCAATAAAAGCAAATGGGTAAAAAACTTTACTCACTGACCACCCAAGGTCCAACTCCGATATCATGTAAGAGTATCCAAACCAAAACCAACTGACAATGAGTGGACAGGCCCCTCAAAGCATATACCAACCTTGGGTGATCCTAATCATTTGATGTGAGATATCAACTCTCTTTACACTATAGATTTCAATATCAATGATATATACCTTCTTTGAATCTTCGGATATGAACATTGTTTTCCGCTCCGTACCCATAATTATCCTGTCTTTTGCAAACTCCAATTGCGTCGAATTTAATTTATCAGCGCCCTCAACAGCAGCCTTAATGGCAGCAATGTTCACCAGGTTCGCCAGATCTGTTGCAAAAAAGTGTTATCAAGAGATTCTTCTACAGCAGCTTACACCATGTAGAGCTGTAAAATAGTCGAGCTGTGTGTTGCTCAAGCTTGGTCCACAAAATAAAGACGCTCTAAAATGAAGATTGAGCTTGGTAAAGATGATCTTGAGTTTCTGATCAAGGATCCTATCAATCAAGTCAAGTTCAAGCCCACAAGACCACCCTCTCCGTCCCACTCATGTCAGACTCACTCTATTTCATGAGTGATCTCGAGTGAGCCCCTAACCAACAACATCATGAGCAAGCATGAATAGCTTGGTCTGTCTTAGCACCGTTCGGCATGAAGAATCCCAGTTGACACACCAATACTCGTATGGAATACACAAAACCAAAAATCTAAAATTAAAAAAAAAAAAAAAAAAAAAGCACAAAGAGACCTGCTCCATTGAACCCTGGTGTACCGCGAGCAATCGCTTTCACATCTACATCATCTGCCAGTGGTTTATCCCTTAAATAGAGCTCCAGTATCTCTTGACGACCCCGAACATCCGGATTGGGAACAACAATCTACAAACAAGTTTTTGTCAGGGATTGCTCCTCCTAGATGCATGATATCAATTTTGTACTTTGAACTATACTTTGGCCGCAGATATATCTCAATAACAGCTCTAAAAACTGATTCATTACTTCCTTGAGCATAGCCTTCCCTCAAATGAAAAGCAAATGAATTAAAAGGCATATGGCCCTTCAATGATATTGGTCTTAGTTCAAAGGTATTTATTTACAGGCAAGGAAAAACAAGGGGATAAAAGGTTCACCAAGCAGATTGCAACTAGAGAAACAGTCCCACTACATGATATACAGACCTTTTGCAGCAAAAAGATGGCACTCTCAAGGTTTCACTGACTGGGTAAACCACAAAAGTGGGCCAAAATTCAGTAACAGAATAATACTCAGCTGCTCAAGTCAACCAGCCTCGAACTCTGTTTGTCTTATTTTCATTTTTATTTGAATAATTTTAGTTTTCAAAATCATTTCAAAAAGGCAGTTTCTACAGATATCTACATCATAAGCACAGATCAATACATAGTTGAGTTGTCTATAGATCGTCAAAGAACTTACATGCCTGTCAAATCTACCAGGCCTTGTTAAAGCTGGATCAAGAATATCAGGCAAGTTTGTTGCAGCCATCAAAATTATGCCCTGTGTGAAACCATACTTGCATTAGAAAAAAGCAGGGAATTCTTTTCCTACAGCTAATAAAGCAAACCTGCACACATGTACCTCATTCTGTTCAAATCCGTCCATTTCAACTAGTAGTTGATGCAATGTTTTCTTTGTATGACCTTCCCACTGCTTCCGAGTTGATCCAACAGCATCAATTTCATCAATGAAAATGATGCATGGAGCCTATGAAAAGAAATTGAACGTATGCCAACATCAGAAAAAAGAGTGCTAGACTCGAACTTGCTAAATTAAGGAGAAATCCATCAAAGATCCATATTAGGAAACAAAATGACTGATTAATGAGGTTAAATAAATATCTCACATATTAAACTGTTGCATCCATTGCCTTATTTATTTGTAAGAATGTTGATCGCGTTTAAGTTTCATTTGGGTGGGTGGGTTGTGTTGAGGTTTTTTTTTTTTTGGTGCGTTGGGTTTTGTTGTTTGGGGGGGGGGGGGAACAGACTTGTTCCTGTTTGGACCAAAAATACTAAATAGGCCAGCCATCGAAAGAGGACCATGGGTCCACTTTGGAAGATGGATATCTTGAGTTGGAGTCTCCAGAGAATGCATTCCTTAGGGATTTATCCTGATGTTGATCCCTCAGCCATCATTGATCTATTGGCAAAAACTACAACTGAAAACCATTCAAATAAAAACCCCGTAAATTGATTAAACTTCTCTTCCACCACTGTATAGTTGCATCTTAGCGAATTAAAGCATACTCCAATCCTAATTCTTGGTGTAGTTCTGAAGTTTTGAGAGATTCCATATCACTTGTTGTATAATGTGTGATAGAACATGTTTCCAGAACATATCCACCACGTTCTATGCTTTTGGCAAAATACTTTCTCTCTTACTTGGGACAGTTTCTACCCTTTGGCGTTCCAAATGAATATTGAAGCTTTGGCAAACTTTCCCAGTTCAAACTAATCAAGTTTCATACTTCTCAAAATTGAAATTCAAATTCACCATGTGTATTCATATCCATTCTAAGCAAGTCTGCATAGGACTATAACAATGGCATATGCAAAACATCTACTGGATGCCACTTTGAATATAAGCATGCCACATATGCACACCTTCCAACTCCCTCTCTATTTCGAAATTTTATGTATACTTATGCTTTTATCTGACTATTTCTTATTACAGCAGCAATATCCTTCAATGTTTTTATATATGTTAATTCAATGAATATAGTTTTGTAAATTTTAAATGTCCATCATAAGTTTTTTCGTTGAAAAACTGTTAGTACATGACATAATCCCATCACCAATGACTTGTATCTCCAAAAAAAATTAAAAATTCACATGGTGTATATCTAATGCTATCCATATATTGATAATTAAATGGTACTTATATGCCATGACCAATTATCACAAATTATAAGCCAAAATGAAGTCTCATTTTTGTCAGTCAGTGTCCAAGATCAAACCTTCTTCTTAGCTGCTTGGAATAAGGATCTTACACGCCGAGCACCAACCCCAACAAACCTAGCATAGGAAACAATGCATCAGTAGTCGGTCTGGGTTCACCAAGAATCTAGAAAATTAAATACAATTGTTTTGATTTTTCAAAAATTCTAATTGTGTTAATCCGAAACCTGTCTCACTACCAGATTACATAAGCAAATACCTTAAAATGACACGAATGACAAATTTTCTGCAGATGTATATGCTCTTATTGTTATGGATAAGAACCCGCCCTTCCAACTGTTAATTGGATCTCATCAATTCTAAATGCCCATGACAACACCCAAACCCATGCACACATGCACAAAGATATGATAAATTATTGTCAAATCTTATAAACCGAAAAAACTCTTTCTAGAACACCCACCACTTGAAAATAATACAGCCGGTGATCACCAATTACTTGATTCAACCAGGTCCCAAATAGTGCAGTAAAGCAGAGTCTCAATGGCAGATTATGCATAAGCATTGTCATGGTTTGTTATAGATGTTGACCCAGTTCTGTGGCTCATTTGCCACTATTCCACATTCCACAACGAATCAGGGAGTTCTGACCCATCAAACCAACTATATGTTCCTCTTTCATGATGCACCTATTAAACACACATTTTCCGATAATAATGACCTGATTGCTCTAGGATGCAACCTGTAGCCATTTTGATGACATTGCCAAACGATGCAACTGTAAAACTTATTGATCGAAGTGGCTTATGATTCATGGAAACAATTGCCCTTTTTCACTAACTTAAAAATTGAATTTGAAAACTCCTCATTCTTTGCATGAATAAGCATCAGGACAGAGGACACTGCTGTACTAGATTTTGTCCCTGAATGCAAGTTTGGCCAAAAGAAATAGATGACTTACATTTCTTCAAATTCAGATCCTGCTCTGTAAAAGAAAGGCACTCCAGCTTCTCCAGCAATGGCCTTCAAAGTGCATCAACAGTCAGGTTAAATAACCATCTAACTATACTCGAAAACTACGGCATATAATTCTGGAAAGGACCCGTTTGTGGCATGTCTGAAAAACATTACATATTAAAAAGTCCAAAGAGTAAGGAAACCACATGCATACAAAAATCCATCGTTTATTACCTCACTCTTTATAATAACAATATGTATGAAAACAAAGAATGAGGAATAGTCTAGCAGCCTTTCCACATGAGCCCATTTACTGATAAAATATTAAACGACCTCTACTGCAATAGGAAATTAAAAAGATGGTGGCCTCGTTAACAACCTAAGTTATGAACTACCTGAAGGTTATGAGCAGGTATTGCAATTTACGCTAATGATACCCAGAAAACTCAACAGGAGAGATAGAACCTTGCATCAACCCTAGAGCTATTAAAGACTACAAAATTTATCCGACAGCTGAATCTGAAGTCAGAAAGCATGAAGTACCAAATGCACAAAGAATAGCCATGTCAATCTGCTCTACACATAAAGCCAAACCAAGTCAAGCCTTATGTCCCAATCATTTAGGGTCGTCTATATAAGTCCGTCTTCGCCATTCATTTCGATCATGAACTATACGCTCATTTAACTAAAATATTTTCATATTTTTTCTTATTATTTCATTCAATGTTAATTTAGATCTACCCCTATTTCTAGTATCATTAAGAAAAATTCTCTCACTTTTTCAACCCGGTGTCTCTATCGGCCTCCGTTGAATATGACAAAATCATCTTAATCTATTTTCTCTTAACTCATCCTCAATTGGAGTTACTCCTACCATTTCTACAGTCATTTCTTATTCTATCTTTTTTAGTTTTTTCACACATCCACCTTAACATTCTCATTTCTGCTACATTCATTTTGTCACTATGTTGTTTCCTAGTTGCCTAACATTCTGTCCTATACAATATTATTGTTATCCTTATAACTGTTCAGTAAAACTTACCTTTCAATTTTATTGGTATTCTTCTATCACATAATATGCCACTTAAGCCAACCGACATTGATTCTATGAGTTACATCATCTCCAATTTCTCCATCATTTTTAATGATGGATCCTAGATATCTAAATTAATTACTCGTTGGTATTTCTTGATTTTCAATCTTAACTTTTGCACTATGTCTACTTCTTCTACATTACATATATTCAGTCTTACTCCTACTTATTTTAAAACATTTTGACTCGAGCGTCTCTCTCCAAATATTTAACTTATTGTTAATTCTCCTTTGAGTTTTATCTACTAATACAATATTATCTGTAAATAGCATACACCGTGGAACATCATCAAACTGCTCTACACATGCATGCAGACAAAATGAGATCATGAGTCAAAACTAGAATGCCGAGTAATGAGGAAGATAATTACTACCACTACATGCTCGACAGCATCATCAGATGGTGCATCTAGATTCAAATGCCTGACAAACTGCATAGAATAAGTCCATGTCACATGAAACTCCCTACCTTGGCAAGCAGAGTTTTTCCTGTTCCAGGTGCTCCTGTCAGAAGAATTCCCTGAAAATTGATTTAGACTGGTTAAGTTACCACCGGAATGGGCAACCAATACGCAAAGCAGTAACAACACTAAGTTCAATGAAAAAGTGAGACACATTATGCTCAGAAGAATCCCAGCTCTGATGTATCAAAAGCAGCCATGACAAGCAGACAGGAAGGACAGCAAGAATTTTTTTTTGGTCAGAGGACAGCAAGAATTCAAACTAATGTGATAAGGAGGTTTATTGGGAACTCAGTTAAACATTTGAGTGATCTACAACTCATACAACCTGAGAACAATATGCTATAAATTCTAAGCTGCTAGATGTGTACTCCTGCAATGTCTGATTTATACAGGACCAACATAACACACTATGACCAAAGAGAACTACCGAGCACAAGTGACCGAACACCAATCGATCCACCTGGAAAATTAACATTCTGAAAAAAATACGCATAGGGACAATTCAATACCTTAGGCAATTTTCCTCCAAGCCGAGTAAATTTTCCTGGGTTTTTTAAGTACTCCACCACCTCCTCAAGCTCTTGCTTTGCATCGTCACAACCTTTGACATCCTTAAATGTTTTAACATTCTGCAGCAATACCAAGTAACCAGATAAATAAGAAAATCTATGTTTAACAAGGCTGATACAGTTGAAACACAGAATGATTATTTTTCTTTGGTTTATAAGAAAGGATCTGTGTTTATGACAACTAAACAACCAGATTATATTTGCAATGGAATGTAAACATTATGTGAGCAGAGGAGTTTTTCTTAATTATCAATAAAACTAAAGTGGGTTAGCATTGCTACCACAAGATTTCTTTGAGCCAACCGGAAGCATAGAAGTAACAGTTAAGAAATAATAAACAGGTGTCACTCATGCAATGTCTGCAAGTGGAACATAATAACTTCTGTGGCGAAGGTATAAACAGATGGATTCCAAAACAGCAGGAGCTGCTAACAGAGATTGTCAAACAGTTGAGGTCAAAAGGCCTGGTGGGCCTATATTATCTGGCATCTTATAATGTGGTGGACCCAGCCCATCGGTGCATTATCAACAATTTAAATTGCTAGCTTTGGAGTTTTCCAGTATCAAGGCAAAGTTATGAATATTTCAAGGAAATTCATAGGAAGACAAGGCTCGACTTTTAATGTCTACAGAAGCAAAATGGAGCAAACACGAAACAAAACCTCAGTACTTCATCAAAAAAATTAAATCTTGTAACTCCTTTCATTCCATATCCTAGACACAACAACATTATCCTTCAAAATTTCCAGCAAAAGATTGTGCACAGTGAAACTCTCAACTCTTGATAATTCTCAAGTGTCATTCCACCCATTGCTGCTTCATCAGAAAATTTTAGACTAATTTATTCTGATGATAAATGTCTGCAGATAAAACTCTGATAAATAACAAAAAGTGAGGTTATATGACCCATAGGAATCAGCACTCATCAGCTTGAAAACACTTCATTCACTTTCATTTTTCAGTAAAATCAGCACTCATCAGTACAAGACAAATCTCTGGAAACCAAGGAAATTATAGCCAGTTCATCTTCTTTGTCACTACTGAATACACACATTGTCCATTTTTCATGCAATTAAAATAAGACAACAATATAGAAACAACAGCTGAAATCTTATGGCGGCAGTTTATTACTATCGCTTCAACTTGAACAGAGAAGATAATTTACCTTCTCAGGCATTATTTCTTTGTTCAACTCTTTTGGGGAATAAGAAGAACTTGAGCCAACACCTGAAGTTCCTATACCACCTAAGCTACCAATATACTTCTGAAGGGCAGCAGTACCCATTAGCCTGAAAGCATATCAATATTCGAGAATGATAAGAACTTAAGGGCACATGCAAACCATGTAATGTATGGTTGCCCGGGCATATATTACATGTTTTATTGCTAAAATTTATGGTAAGTCAAAAGTGACCTTATAAGTTCTTACCATACCAAACCAACGGCCACAGTGAACAAGATGGTTGAGATAAGCTCTTGCGCAAAACGAGATGATCTATTTGACACTTTGGGGTCAACCTAATAGAGGAAACAACATATGCTACATTCAGAAACACATGCACATTCAAAAGATCCTCATCGAAAAACTCCTAATAAATGAAAGAAAGAGAGAAAATATAGAGACCAGCCTTTTTCATAATTCCTTACCACTAACACGTGCAATGGTTGTTTCTCGGACATGCCAGGACTCAAAAAGGGCTCATCCATGTTCTCCGACGCACGCTGCTTCAACTCTTGCAACTAAACAGAATTGAAGTTCCCTAAGATTTTCTTTGTTTCACTACATAACTGATGGGTAGTAAAATACGCAAAAATAAAACATATGCAAAACCAAAATAGCGAAACAACATATTCCAGTACCAGTGCAGGAAGACTAGAAGGTTTTCCAGATTGCTCATCTGGAAGATATTCAACAATAGCATTAGTGGCTACAAGTGCTCGAAGGTATTCTGCAACAGCTCTACTGTCTACTGCATGATCCCTTTGCTCAAAACGACTGATTACAGACTCTGGACTGAAAAAGAAAAAAAAGAAAAAGAAAAGAAAAGGCACAAGCAATATGAAACAGTTTATCAGCTACAGACAATTTGATAACAACTATATAAGGGATAACCTATAGAAATTGCGAACTTTGTTCTACTATCCCAACAAACATTAACATATTTGGATCACTAGCAAAACACTAAAACGAAGAAGAAAAAGATATATTTGCCTAACCTGTGCTTATTGAGCTCAGCCAACAGAGCACTCTGCTTGGCCGCATCCTTGGGATTGGCATCAGCCTCCACAATCAACCGTTCCAAACGCTTCTCTTGCCGCCAAAACGGCCACCAATGAAACCAATCCGACAGCATAACCTTCTCAAATCCCTTCCTTATCGTCGCAAACAATCCCATAAAAAACACTACCACCGGCAACCTACTCTTGGAGTCATCTTTCTCAACCAAACTCTCTGGTTTCGCTTCCTTCTCACCTTCAGAGCAAATACTCCCCAATCCATCAACCTCCAAAGCCAACGCTTCTGACTCAATCTTCGAACTCTCGCCGGAAAATCCATCGCTAAAATTCTTTATCTCCGACTCTTCAAAATCTGAAATTGAATTATTGTTACCAACAGTCGATTCCGAACTCGAATTCACATTCTCTGGATGCAATGTACAAGAAAGAGTGAGACGGTGGCGGTAAAATCGAGACTTATAAGAAATCAAATTGAGTTTACATAGAGAAAGAGAAGAAGTGAGAGAATTGGAGTGACGCTGATAGGCAAAGAGAGGAAGTTGGAGGCGACGTTTAGAAGCAGGGATGTGAGAGAGTAGGGGATTATAGATAAGAGAAGCTTGAAGAGTAGTCATGGTGGATAGTAATTAGGGTTTATCCAAAGATTCTTTGCTGAGAACTGACTCAGTCTTTCTTTCTCTCTCTACAGTAGTGTGGCTGTTAGAGAGAGAAGGGTCACAAGATTGGGTTTACAGAAAGAAAAGGTTGAGAAGAGAGAAGAGAAGAGAAGAGATGGCCTTATCTAATCTCGATTGAAATTGGCGCTCTGCTGTCAAGTGTCAACTGCTGTGGACTGTTATAGCCTTTGTTGCCCTTTGTAAATTTTTCGATGGCTTTTCTCATTTCGCAAGTAACGTTCGATTTGTTCGTACGCATGCCTTGCTTACTTGCTTTGTATCGTTCACTAGCCCCTTTTAGGAGGGAATAATATATAGTATCAATTGCGTGAATATAAAGAAATTAAATTTGTATAAAATAAAACAAAAAAAAGATACGAAAGTGAAAAAAAATTATGATGGATAAAAGTATGAGTGGTAACACAATAAGAATGACTTGGCGTAGGTGACTTTTTAAGTCCATTAAATATCAATGCTCAATCATAGATAGACGGTGAAAACTACCAAGTTAGAGTATGATTAGGATAAAAAAAAATTCAAAAAATGGTAAAATGCATAAAGATTAGAAGGAACACAGTGAAATCATTTTATTGAATCAATACTGACACTAAAAAGGGAAAGTTAGGAAAGCAAATGAAATTAGATACCCAATAATCCTAGCCATAAATGATGGATATTAGGCGCCAAACTATTAAATGTGGTTAAACGAAAAGCAAAAATTAAAAAAATATAATGGATATTTCATGTGAAGTAAATACTAAACACCCTTTTCTTTCTTTGGTAAGGGTAATAAATTATGTTGTTGTCTTTTATACATCATCTCAAGTTAATTATGATGGCTAGAAATCTATAATAGAAGATATGAAATCCAAACTTTTTAAGTTGCAAATTTTTTACAATGAAAAAAAACATTGCTCTTATCTAAATCTAAGATTAGAGTCGATTCTCAAAAGTTTTTTTCCCATTAGGAGTAGGCTAGACAATGGTTAATAATTTTTTTTTTTTGGATTTTTTGTATTTTATATACCGAAAGATGTCTCGATTTTTTACTTTGCACTCTAAAAAATTATTTTTTTACATTGCACCCTGAATGTTATAAGTTAGTTTTCAACTAACATCTGTTTCATTCGTTAAAAATTAATGGACATGCCATCAAAGGGTATGAATAGTGAGTTTATATTTTTGCCTAAGAACAACACACGTGAATAACATGAACATCAATTTTTAGCGAAATTTGAAATGAATGTTAGTCCAAAGGCTACATTAGAACCAATTTATAACATTCAATGTGTAATGTGAAAAAAATAATCTTTTAGAGTGCAATATAAAAAAAATAATATATCAGGGTGCAAAGTGTGAAAATCCATTTTTTCATATATAAATTGTAATTATATCTATTCTTAAAAAAAATAGGAGTAAAATTGCAAATACAAGTCAAATTAAAACACAATAATATAGATTGGGTACATTATCCCTCTTAATCTCGTTAACCCACCCAAACCCATCTCTCCTTTGGCAGGAGAAGTTAGAGAGGGAAAAAAGAACAAGACAAAGCCTACATATATCGCTACTGTCTAATAGAACAAGACAAGACAAAACAAGACTGATATATCACAGTCTAAGCGAAAGAGACTTTCTCCATTGGACTTTCCACTTGAAGCTCAACAAAAAAATAATTAGCACTTGCAAATCGTGAATGCAGTCGACAGAAGCTGACCATCCTTAAAATTGAGAACTACAAAGACGTCTTCTAGGCGAAACTCAGATTGTCAAAGAACTATACTTGATAACAAGCATAAGCCACTGGTTACCTGAGTAGCAATTAGGATGATCTGATTTCTAATTTTGCTTTGCTTGAAGCCTCTTGATCAAAAGGGAAATTAATTCTCATCAATCACAATAAGTGCAATGGAAAAGCTAAAAGGACACTTAGACAATGCCCGATCAGCCAGCGTGTTCAGCCCAAAAAGCAAGCTGGCAAGTATTCAGATAATATACAGTAGTAGAATTAAGGGGGCAGTTTTCAAAGCCTACAGACAATGTGAAGACATCCACCCACAGAACTAGGGGGAAAAAAGAGCAATTCAAACTTGAAATGTGAGATTCAACATACGCAAGTTTGGCCGAAGGATGTTCATATTACAGGTTGCACGCTATACCCTTCTGTTGTAGCCTGCTTATCCCTGAAACATCTACAATCTCAGGGACAAAAATATCAGCGGTAATGCTATTGTGGATGATACGGGGGTATTCCTGCTGAATGTGGTAGGCCATTCTGCATATGCAATGGCATCATCCCAGAGCCCATTTCAGGGCGCATACTTGCATGTGGCATGTAAGGGTGATTATGCATCTGCATGGGCATGGATTGAGAAAGTGCTGTGGTGGGTGAGCCCCAACCTGCTGAAGGGTGAGGCAGCGCAAGCCCATCAGGATTTGGAGTATACTGAGCTCCATTGTACTGCAGAGAGCTTGGACCTGCCATTGAGGGTGGTTGCTGCCCAAGAATTGAAGGTTGAGAGTTCAACATAGGACCAGTAGGCATTGTATAATCTCTGCTTCTGTCATTGTTAACCTGAAATCAGAATATCCCAAGATCCACGAATCCACAACATTAGTCTCAACTCAACTTTCCAGGGAAAAAAAAACCACAAGAAGATCCAGTGAAGTTCTGGTTATATCAAGGAAAAGAAATTATGGAAATCAATGATATTCGGAAAGAACCTATATCATTGTAACTGGAGTGATAGCTTTGCCAAATTGGCGCATGGTAAAAGTGACAAGTCCTACCGAATCCGTTTGTATCAAAAAAATAAATATCTGAGAAATTAAAAACTAGCCATCTACCTATTTCAGTGCATTGTTTTGGTTACTTAGAAAATGGAAACGGTTCAATCCATTTTGAAAACAAAATGAAAACGAATAAAAATTTGAGAATTATTTTTTCAAAACATTGATCGAAATATACCAACCCATCTCAAAACACCTTGAAATATTCTGAAATAATGGTGTAAATAGGCCGAAATATTTTGAAATATTACAAAACACCTCAAAATATTATGAAACACCTTGGAATATTGTAATTTCGATTTCATTACTAATTTGTTTCAGTCTCCTTAGAAATGGAAATGTTTCAATCGTTTCGAAGTGAAATTTTGATCCTTGCATCTACCTAAACTTAAGATTATGTAACTAGCTCTATGACTTAAGTCAGCTTTACCATGTGCACATGCAATATAGATAAAGGCCCAAAATTTTAAAATAAAATAAACCAAAAACATATATCATATCCTCTCAGGGAAAAAGACATTAAGATGCAAATCTCCAAGGAGTAACTGATTACAAATTGTAGTACAATATGCTTATTAAGTCAGCACTAAAGAAAACTATATCACATCCATAACACAAACATATTATACTAGGGTAAAGATAGTAAGCACATTACCTTTATACTCAGATCGGTGTGGCGTGAATATGAAATGTGAAGTTTGCAATATCCGCCATCGTATATGCAGTGTCCCTCCAAGGATTCCTTCGCAACAACAGCAGTCTGCACATCTGCAAACCCATTGCAAAATTGAAACTTCATTTTGACAAACTATTAACTTGAGGAAGACCAGTTCACTTCATTTTGACAAACTATCAACTTGAGGAAGACCAGTACAAAAATAAACCGAACTTACTTATATCTCAAGGTATAAAAATCCTCCATGTATATCAACTTACAGTCGGTAACTTACAGATCAAATTTGCACCAACTTCCAAGAAACTTACATCTCACCCAAAATACTATTAAAATCCATTGCAAACTTTTCTGACTTCTCTAATTTTTTACACCACAAAAAAAACTAGAAAAAGTGGACGTATGAAGAAGATAGTTTCCATGGCAAATGGCGGTGAGCCCTAGATTGCTTTTTCACTTTTTTGCCTTGAAAATTCAAAATGCAAATTTGTGTGCAATGATGCACTGATAGATAGGATAATGAAAGATTCAGGCAAAGTTACGGAAAAATTCTAAAATTTTAGATCCAACTGGACTTCACTCTCTATCAGATGTTCAATTTGGCATCTCGTGCATTGCCTATTGACACGACTCAATTTAAAACCAGACTACAATAAATTATTATCAGGTAACTCTCCTATTTAAAATAAGTGTATAAACAATGCACAATGATGCGATTGATTTAATAGGAGATAAGAGACAACATATAACCTATGAGATCAATTTGGGCCAACCAGGACAGAGTCTATGCTACCAACAGGGCCATTGCCTCAGTTTGGCAGGTGTTTTGACAATAAAAAAATCAAGAGTAATAACATCTAAAGTAGATACTAGTTACCAGGTTTTAACTTACCATGGTACTGAATCAAAGCCTGAACTCCCCCATTTTTATCAAACATGGCAATCTTTAGTACAGGCCCAAAAGCAGAGAAAACCTGACCACAATCGCCAGTCATAAAGGACAATAATTAGATACGAGAAACTCATGGTAAATAAAAAATGCCCCAAAAGATATGATCAGAGGTACATATGATACCATGTGTATAACATCCAAGGTAACTGCATATTGCATGTTCTCAATAGAAGCCAGAAGAACATTACTCTCCGGCTCTAGTTTCTTGCCATCTAAACCCAAATTGATCTGCAATGACCACAGATAAATGTCATTACATCATACTACCAAAAAGATCGAAAGTTTATGCCTCTGGATTTAATGGAAGCTCTGCAAAACTTTCAGAGCAGCACTTCTAAATTATAACCAAGCCATTGTGCATACAGGAACAGTTTGATGTATAATTGTGCACAATACATGGGCTAATGTGCGTAACACAGGAGACTAGTCAGGGAAAAACAGAAAGATGATAACTCCTTCACATGTCCACCACACGTAATGGGCAGGTCATGTTAGACAGTAATTCAACGTTATGGCCACTCCAGAAGAGTGGACAATATATAAACTAAACAAACCATTTCCAAGTGCTTACCTGACCACTTGCATCTATGGCTGAGGGAGCGACAGGAAGATGAGGATTAGTGTAGTCCCTGCATCAATATAAAACATAGGGAACATACTTAAGAAAAAGATCATGACAAAACTACACCTCCAAGAAAGAGGAAAATAAGAGATTGCCATGGTAGAAGTTGGATTATTATATGCCGATCTTTGTTCATGAAGAAACTAACAAGAGAAACCATAATATATAAGCACATATATACATGTGTAGAAACCTAGATTGTAAAAAAAACTTCTCAGCTTACAAGCACAAGTACAGGAAAAAGTAAATTGAACATAAGGAAAAAAAACGTAGCCAAACTAGACTCCTATGAAAGGTAAACAGGAGTCCACAAAATAGAAGTTCACACCACGACGCTAACAAGATAAACCATAACACAGAAACACACGTGCAAAGATTGGGTAGAAATATAATATTTACCGAAAACTTCCCAGATTACAAAACAAACAAAGCTAGGAAATCAGATACAACATAAACCTGCTACGATGGCTCTGAAATTTCACACTCAAATCTGTGTGCGCGGAATATGTGATCCGAAGGCTACATGGTCCCAGCTCGGGAATCAAATACCTGATAGATACCAAGAACCTAAAAGTCAGTCAATCATCACACAGGCATATTAAAGAATAAAAAACACAAATAAAGCTTTTCAACACAGCTTCTCATATAAAGCAACATGCATGTGCCAGTAACTAACAATTGATGGTCCAATATAGCACATTTATACAGATGAATGCTCCTATCACTAGATCACGACTATCAAATATGTAAATTTTCTGTTATAAGAGACAGCAATGAAAGTAAAGGCAAAAAAAATTGAGGCTCAAGGATTTGGTGAGCATGGGAATAGTAAATGATAATTCAGGCAACTACATGATGTATTGGTACCGTCTTAAGTAAAGGTCTCTGTTGGTCTATTTTGGTCAGCTTTCTCTGCTCCCTTTTTCTTCTAATTTGCAGCTACCAAATTAGGATTAAGTACCATCGCAGTCTCAAGAACTAAAGGGAAGGAGGTAATTGATATAACAAGAAAAAGGCAAGACAAAACAACTGAACAAAGGAGAGACATGATGGGATAAGGAGCATGCGTGTACACCTTTAGTAGATTCTTAAAAATGCGGCTGACAGATGTCCAGTCCCAATGCATGTGTACCACATCTACAGATATATTCCATAATGGTTGGGTTACTTCCCAAGTTGAAAAATAAATCCAACATCACCTTGGAATGCTTCTTCCATCAAGGGCATCCTTCGCTGATGAGGCAGTTTCTGAATCAGAAAATTGCACTAAAGCCTGAAACAATCAAATGTGAATTGAACAATTAGTGTTGTAAGGGCAGGAAGGAGACAGTTAAAGATAAATTTTGCCTCCAAACACACAACCCACCTGAAATCCAGCTGTCTTCTCAAATGTAGTAATCTTATGTACAAAGCCAAAAGCTGAAAACACCTGCAAAACTAGGATAACTTTCAGAAGGATGAATTGGAAAACATAATGGACGCATAACAATGCAGGTCACCAATTTTGTATGCAATGCTCTTTGTTAAAAAACCCACATTCTCAACCAACATACCAATCAGTACCTCATATTTCAAAAGTAAAACCCAACAATAGCTTGCAGAGTATGAAACAGAGAATTATAAATAAAGAACTGAAGCATGTTTAGTGAACCTGCTAATAACTAGTAATCACTAAAAGCATCCTTTTTTACAACTTTATTTGGCATCCAAGACAAAACTGCAGAACTTCTTTTAATTCCAAATCATTTTGCATTGTTTCTCAAAAACTTCTTTCTAGGAGCTAACATCTACATACACTTTTTAATCCTCTGTGCATTACCATGATAGGAAACAAAGAAGGCTCGAAACTTGAAATTTGGGTGTGTGGCCCACTAGAAGGATGGATGAAAAGAAATTTGTTTGATGACACCGCGAAATTGTTGACTTTGTCCAAATTTGTCTCCTTTGTTACTGAATGACCACTAAGAGTTTCCTGGATGAAATCCAAAAGACTGCAGGTATTCTTCTAATTCAATGTCTTAAGCTACCTGACTATTAAACTTCAGATATGTTATTATCCATCAGCGAAGCTAACAATTTCAAAGCCTTAAGATTCTCATCAGTTACTCCTTTCCACAGTAACTCAGTATCCAAGAAAGCCGCTGACAGACAACTCATCACTCCTGGAGTGCCTTTCCCAACAAAAAGTGTAGTCACAAGTCACCCGGTTATGAACTCCTCGGGTACCAATACCATAGAGTCCAATCATCAAGAATTGGCTCTCTAGGAGCATGATAACCTTATGTAATCCATGAAGTCTACTCCTCAACAGCGAGCAATTATTAAGCAGCATAAATAAGAATTTTACTCTCCAAAAAAAAAAAAACCTCAAAGAAAGACAAAATACCAATATATGACCTACTGAACAAAGTAGGGCTTTCTCTTGTCTCTGGCTATCTATGGACAAGAAAACACATTTAACTTCCATTTTATGACATTCTACGTTTTTACTTTGGTTCCAATTTTGTACACCAGTATCCCAGACCTTTCAGATGAGGCTAAACAACCACACACTACTTTGTGTTAACTATACTTTGTGAGAATCAAAACCACTGTATAGTAAAACAGATTTCTTTGTTTCAAGAGCATCACTTCCCCCTCTTTCCCAGAATCAGAATGCACACAATTCCTGATTTGTGAAACTGACTCCAACAACCAACGGAAACCCAAGATAACCAAAATTTCCAAATGTTAATCATTAGATTATGCTGACCAATGAAGCTTCAATATTAGACTTGCATCAGGAAATATAATGCCGCAAAAAATTCCCGCATAGGCCATGCCGCCATGCAGACATGAAAGAAAGACTGATGCACGAAAACCCAAAAAAAAGCATCCAAAACTCGTTGAAAGTTAGGAATACGAAGATGAGGAGGAAGAAGGAGGAAAGAGCCAGGGTTGAGCAAGGAGAAAGAAGACAAACACACATGCGCTCTTTCTCCCAATGCAATTAGCTGCCATCGAAGATATTTCCTTGACATAGGCCTGCTGATTCATTCACATTCAAGTCAAATAAAAGCTTAAAGAAGTATGGCATAGTACAATGAACCAACAAAAACCGTTGGCAATATCTGTTTATTGACAAGTTTAACACTACAAATGTGAGCAAGAAACGTAATTACTCACCAAATGTAAAACATCAATGCTAACAAGGCGTGCATCAGCACCCTCAATTGTTACCAAGAGCACATTTCCAGCAACATCAGCAGTAGTTTTGTTGTTCACTATTTCTTGCCTGTTGGAATACTGTAGGTACACAGTTTTCCCTCGCACCTGAGCCGGTTCTGAGGATGAGGCATAATATGATATCATTGCGATGGCCTGATTTAATTCTGCCTATTAAACATCAAAAGATAAGGAGCGAACACTTATCAGCAAAAAATGACTGAAAGAATTGCCAATACCACATAGCAAAGAAAAGGAGAAACAACTGTACACTCACAAATTCAATAAAAGCTTGATTTCGGTTTGCTCCAACATTACACTTCGTATTGACAACTTTACCGAATGGCTTCCCCAGTTCAATCAGTTCCTCCTCCGTGCACTCCCATGGCAAGTTTCTCAAATGGAGGACCTTCGATGGAGGTTGTGTGTACCGGAATTGTGGTTGAGTGGACACAGATGCCATTTCACACTATTACCCCAATCTATCAAAAACCCAATAAAGAACTACTGTGAACGTCGCGTTACTATGAATCAAGTAAGACAATACAAATCCATTTCATATTACAATACACCATCCCAAAAACACAAACTTAGTTGCATATTGGAAACCTCAATGCATTTTACAAGCTATGGCATGGCCCAATTTAGGTCATTTTCCGTTTATCATTCTTTGTTCAATAGCACGTGACAATCCACAAACCACAGTACACGTAACTGTATTGTCGGGTCCCAGTACAAACCCTTACATAGCAATTACCATCTTCCTCATCAATCTTTTTTAACCATTTTTTCCATTCAATCAATCTATAAAAATGAGAAATATGGAGTAAATAGATTAGAGTAAACACGTAAAATTGCAGTAAAAGGTAAATTTATCAATTGCTACCATCATATCGAATATAAAAATGATCCACACAGCCAAATATAATACATGCTCTTAACCATAATATTTTGGCCAAAGAGAAACTAAATTTATCATCAACTATGTAGCTGGGTATCATCCACAAATTCACTCTAGATGATAATTTTGTGTGGTGTGTTTGTAAAGAGATATAGAGAGGGAGAGCAAACGAGAGAATGACACATAATAGATTGTTTATAATTTCAATTACAAGAGACATATTGAAATCAATCTCGTGGTCCATCATAGAGCTTGAAACAGACAGAAGATAGAGAGAGACAGACCGACAGACAGATAACAAACAGATAGAGATCGAACTCCGGGAACATGAAATCCAGATGCAGACCTGGTCCAGAAAGAAATAGGTAGGGCACAAAAAAGGCACCGAAGCAGGAATCGAGAGACTGAATACGATACCTGACTGATGCTAAAAACGTCCTAGTTAGCAAAATTAGGGTTTGCAGACGACAGAACAGCTAAAAAGCGGAGAAGAGAAGATTTTCCTTATTTGGTGTATGTGGGTTTCGGTGAAGGGGGAAAAAGGGAAGCGGGGGGGGTGTTGACTAATATATGGATATTGCGTGGCTGCCGTATTCTTTTAAGGTAAGACCCAAAAATAAAACCGTGAGAATGTATAATTATTTTTTTTACAGCAAAAGAAAAGCCTCTTCATAGAGTTGGACGATGAGACGATCTTAGATGCCAAGTCAGACAGGCCAGGCCCAATAAAAAATATTATTTAAATTAAAATTTTTAATTTAATTTATTAATATAATAATGGGACTTCACAAAAATCATTGAATTAATACTAAGTTTCAATATTTAATACGACCGATAATCAATTGAAATGTTACAGTAAATTAAATTAACAAATTATGTCAATAAATTAATTTCAAGAACAAAGTTCTTACTTAATAACGATTTATTACGCGCGATATATAGGTCACTCAACCTTCCGCACATCTTCCGTTTTTAATTATCGTGGACAATTGAAAGGAAAAATTCTTTAACAATGGATTATGCCATTCAGTTCAACGGTGGCTCACAAAATTCTTTTACATAGTTCGCCATTATAATTTATTGAGCAATTCGCTCGTTAGGAAAAAAAAAATAAATGATTGAAAATCACAATTATAGTCCGAGTAAGAATTCTCATTCATCATTTTGGTTGAGGCATCATTTTACTTACAAATTAAGGTTAATCTGTCAAATTGAAACCTCCATTATATGAAAAAACCTCCATTAGTAGCTTTTTTTCTTTTTTTCGTCAGGAAATAAGCTTTCATTAATCAAGGGCCCTGTGAGAGTGAATGAATGTTGCGCTTGTGCAAGTTGGCAGACAGGCCCCGGTACTCTCTCTCTCTCTCACACACACACACACACACACAGTCTCTATGAAAATTTGATGAAGTCGTCCTTTTGTGGAATGTGGAAACATCAAAGATGGAAAAGGAGACTAAAGATCTATTCAACCCTACAACACAGTCCACAATATCATTGTCAATTCAACCTGGTCTCTACGAATATTGCTATAACAAGACACGCAAAGAATGGCCAACTCCAAATAGCTCGAAAACTGTTCGACGAAATGCGTGAACGAACCGTTGTCTCATGGAACACTATGATTTCTGGCTACTCTAAATGGGGAGATTTCAATGAATCTCTTAGTCTAGTTTCAGCTATGCACCGAACCAACATGAAGCTCAATGAGAGCACTCTTTCTTCAGTACTAAGTGTGTGTGCTCATTCGCAGTCATTAAATAATGGTAAGCAAATTCAGTGCCTTCTTCTGAAATCTGGGTTTGAGAATTATGAGCTTGTGGGTAGTGCTTTGTTGTATTGTTATGCGAATTCTTTTGAGATTGAGGAAGCAAGAAAAGTGTTTGATTTGTTGCATGAAAGGAATGAGTTGTTATGGAGTTTGATGCTTGTCGGTTATGTGCAATGCAATTTATTGAATGATGCTTTGTATGTTTTTAATAGAATGCCAAAACGTGACGTTATTGCGTGGACAACGTTACTTTCGGGTTATTCGAAGAGTGAGGGTGGTTGTGAGAAGGCTTTGGAGTTGTTTTGGTTGATGAGGGATAGCAGTGAAGCTGTACCAAATGAGTTCACATTTGATTGTGTTATACGGGCTTGTGGTAGAGTTGGTGTTTTGCACGAGGGAAGGGCTGTTCATGGGCTTGTGATACGATATGGGTGCGAGTTGGAACATTCAATTACCTGTGCACTGGTTGATTGTTATTGTAATTGTAAAGCTATGGACGATGCCAAGAGAGTTTATGACAGGCTGGTAAATCCGTGTTTAAATGATTCAAATATGCTGATTGGAGGGCTTGTAATGCTCGGTAGGATTGAAGAAGCCAAAATTATCTTTGATGATTTGGCTGAAAGAAATCCTGTTTCATATAATTTGATGATTAAAGGGTATGCTGTGAGTGGACAAGTTGAGGTTTCAGAAAGGTTGTTTCTAGAAATGCCTTGTAGAACTTTAGCTTCCTCAAATACTATGATTTCTGTGTATTCCAGGAGCGGAGAAATTGATAAGGCTTTGAAACTTTTTGACGAAACAAAAGGGGAAGGAAACACTGTGACGTGGAATTCAATGATCTCAGGTTACATTCAAAATGGTTTGCACGAAGAGGCCCTAAACCTATATATAACGATGCTCAGATTATCAATGTGGCAAAGTAGATCGACTTTCTCTGCACTGTTTCATGCATGTTCATGTCTTGGATCTCTTCAACAAGGACAACTACTTCACGCCCATTTGGCTAAAACGCCATTTGAATCCAATGTTTATGTTGGAACAGCCCTTATTGATATGTACTCCAAATGTGGGAGCATTGCTGATGCTCGAGCTTCCTTTATTAGCATATCTTATCCCAATGTGGCAGCTTGGACGGCTCTCATTAATGGGTATTCACATCACGGGCTTGGATCTGAGGCAATCTTACTCTTTGAGCATATGTTGGAGCAAGAGGTGGACCCAAATGGAGCAACGTTTGTTGGTGTCTTGTCTGCTTGTATTCGTGCAGGTTTGGTCAAAGAGGGGTTGAGGTTTTTCCAGTCAATGAAAGGATGTTATGGCATAACCCCAACCTTGGAACACTTCACATGTGCAGTAGATCTTCTTGGTCGAGCAGGCCATCTAAGAGAAGCTGAGGAACTTATAAAAGAGATGCCAATTAAAGCGGATAAGGTCATCTGGGGGGCATTGCTTAATGCTTGTTGGTTCAGGATGGACATGGAAGCAGGTGAGAGGGTGGCTGAAAAGATGCTTAGTTTGGACCCTAAGCCTATATCTGCTTATATTATTTTGTCCAACATATATTCAGGATTGGGTAGGTGGAGGGAGAAGATGAAGGTCAGGAAGATAATAAGGGGCTTGGAAGTGAAGAAAGATCCTGGGTGTAGTTGGATTGAGCTGAACAACAGAGTTCATGTGTTCTCCGTGGAAGATAGAACCCATCCATACTTTGATGTTATTTGCGCAACTTTGGAGTATCTAACCACTAATGTTAACTCCACTGTTCAATATGACGATTTTTTTTCATCAATAACAGATGCTAGAATATTCAGTGCAACATTCTGTCATAACTAAACTTCTTAAAGCTCTGTGATCAGGATTAATCTTATTGAGTACTGACGAAAGCTCATTTGGTGATGTTGCATATCATCTGTTATAACGAGGATCAAATGGTTCGTCTTTTCATATCCCTTCATCTTATCTGCTTTTTAGATACCGTCGTCCTATTAGTTTAGCATCATTAGATATATACAATGTTTCTGTAATTTTAGAAGCACTTTAAGAATGTCATGTTACATTTTTCTTCACCAACTTTTTGTAACGCTGATGGAAAATTCTTACAGGGTGAAGATAATAAAAGCAGAAAGGTAAAAATGTAATGGAAAAAACTAAAAGATTAAGTGATGGAGAGTTGTGGATTGAGCATCCTGATACGTAGCCTTCTAACTGCATTATGGTGGTCATCAGGGGAAAGATTCCCATCGCATTAGTCTTTTATAGAGTGAAAAGTTTACAGTTCCTTTGCAAAAGCCACAGTCTGAGCGTTCTGATTAACTCGAATTTTGTTGCTAACAAGGTTCAAAGTTTGGATCACATTAATCCCCAAGCCCCCGCGCATGTGTTTCTGTTTTTCTTTGTTTTTGAAAACATATTTTTCTTGTTTCCAGTTTTTGGCCTTGTTTTCAAAATAACTTAGCTTCAGAAAACAAAACTCAAACACGTTATTTTTTTTATTTTTGCAAAAAGTGAAAACTAATTTTTCTGTGTAAATTTTACTGGTTCAAAAATTGTAAGGATATGTTCTGGGTTGTTTCACCTGAACATGTTGTGGTTCCCTTCAAGGGGTCGAGTCCAAATGGGATGTAAAAATACATCGGTAGAGGAGCATTCCGCATTAGAGGGAAGCACCCGCTCGAGTGGTAGTGGACGAAGTGGAAGCATGACAAGATATTTAGTCCACATTATTTTTTTAACTATTAATCACTTCAATTATATAAGTAATTGGTTACACCAAAGAAATTTTTTTTTTTTTAAAACTTTCATACAGCTTCAAGTTGCTCTAACTGCCCTTTTTGGGGGTTGGCCAAATTTATTTTACAGCATAAAAGAGAATTCACCCAGGCCTTCATGTGAAATTCTTCAGATCTTGCCATAGGTATCAGTTACCACAAACTGCAATTGTTGTTTGTGTTTTTCATTGTCCTTTTCCATATCCCAATTTTGTTGTTCTTCCATGGTTCCTGTTTTCCTATACTTGAAATAGAGCACAAGCTGAAGGATGCCTAAAGGGCTGCCAACTAGATTTGGACACTGCCAAGATTGTGAAATTTAAGATTAGTATTTCAATTAATGTAAGAATAATTTACAGAAATCATTTAGTTTGATTTTAATTGAGATACAAACCGTGAGGAAGAGGTCATGGCTCAATAATCCATAAGTCATCCAAAGCGAACTAGCAAGGAACGAGAAAAAAGACAAGTAGAATGGCATAAATTCCACGCTCTTTGTTTGTATAACATGCTTCTGCAATTGTGAGACTTATACATGGGTCAGTAGCAATGGCTAAAACAATACGAACTCTTTCTAACAGAAGAAAATGAAAGAAAAACATAACATTATATTCAATGTTCAAAATACGGTATTTGCATACACGGATCGAAACCTCATAAGCTACGTTTGATGTATTATTGTTGGTTATAATATATATGCAAAATCTGTATAAGGATGTATATAGTATTACATTGTTTGCAAAGAGAATATTTTTGTAACTCGATTATTTGACATTCTAATCATAATAAAATAACCTTATCGTCTCATAATATATCTTTAATATGTACTAGTACTATAACAACACTCATTTTTCTATTATGACATGAATGTCGATTGTTAAAACATGAGAGAGAGGACTCACCACAACCACTAGAGGAGAACCATACATTGCTACAGAGGCTACCAGTCCAATACTCCCAACAAAAACCTTGCGATGATGGTGATCATGGAATACACAAGCTGATATGGCTGCGGCAAAGGCAAAAGCTAGGATAACAGGTATAGTTATCATCGCAACCTTCTTCTGCACCCATGAAACCTAACTTAATATTCCTTCAATAAATTCATGCATGCATGCAACAATTAGATAAAAAAAAACACATGGAGAATAATGTTTATATGACTTACTATATTTATATACATGTATCTATGTATTTCCATCCATCTATATATATGCTCATATAATATACTTGCCTTTCCTCCAACTGAAGCGAACCAGAAGTATGGAAGAATGAAGGAGAGCTCAAGAAGAATTCCTACGCCATTAGTGGTGACCAAGGGAAAGTTTTCCCACCTATAGCTCACCACAGGCAGGCCATACCAGGTATAAAGGAAACAGTTCAATAAAGCAATAATGTATGGAACACATGAAAATTCCTCGGTGCTTTTCTTCTTTATGACCATTGAAAATGTTAATCTGCTTAAAAATAAAAAATTAAAGTTAGGATTAGTTCATGTGGTTATAAAAAAGAAAAAAAGAACACAATATCAGGAGGGTGGAACTGGACATTACAAGGGTGCAGCATAGAGTAACATGGAGGCAGCATTTCCTGCAAGAAAGACAAGTTTAATTAGGCTAATTTATTTTTTTTAGTTAAACGGTCAAGGGTGTTCAGACCAGTTTATGCGCACTTTGATTAATCTCTTCTTCAGTTCAACCAAAAGCATACCATTCACACTGGAACTAGTGAATTCATGAGGGATAAATTTATAATGGCATGATCCTAATGGATTGTCAAAATTCAAACTCGGAACGTCTGAATTTATAACTCATTTCTATTACTACTTGAACTACTTGTGAACAATTTTAATTCACTTTGTTAGTGACAATGAGAATATGAACAGATAAATAAAGGAAAAAATTAAGTTACCCATTACTCCAACTGCTAAACGCAACTTGTCTCCCATGTCTTAAGTTTTGGAAAAGATCGATGCTACCGATGGTAGAAGAACTACTTCTAAAAGTTGCTTGAACATTCTATGATAGAGTAAGGGGTATAAATACTGATGAGATGAATAGCTCAAGCAAAAAATAAATAGAGTGCTTTCTACCCTGTAAATTAGAGGAGGAAAATAAATTCAAAAATGAAAAAAAAAAATCCTGGTGGATCAGGGAAATAATTTGGCACTAATGACACGGCATTTGGTTGAATCTGTTTCATGCAAATGCTCCATTCAAACCTGTGTTTGGCTTTGCAATAAGACAGGAACAAGTCTAATTTTCGGTACCGTACTGTTATTATAAAATTTGTGATTTATTTTTATAATTTTAAGGGTCATTTATAATTTTTGAGATCGCTTGTGATCAATTGTAAAATTTTTAGGATCAAGTAAATAACACACAAAATTGTAATATGACCTCAAAAGTTGTAATTTATTCGGTATCGTAGTGGACTTCATAAGATAGAAGAGAAAAAGACTAATGATACTCTTTGTCTTGTAAATATTTTGTCTTTTTTAGGTCAAGGGTTTAAGTTGTTTTCTCTTTCCGACCCCTCCCAAAAAATAAAATGAAGTAAAATAAAATAAATAAAAATAAGATCAAAGAGAAAGAGACCAAAGAAAAACAACCCAAAGAGAATTTATTTGACATTTTGGGTCTCCTGTTTGAGTGGAAGTTGTCGCAAGAATTCCACGAGTCACTGCAGATCTTTTTAGGTGTTGTGCTTTTCGCGTCAAACGCAGAGAACAAAGTATATTGAGAGCTTTTTGCTTATGCATGTCATGTGTTCTCTTATGTCTGGGAAAACAGTCATTCTCCTCAAGATTAGCAGATCAATCATACCAAACATTATCTTCTTAAATTAACATGGTTAAGAGATATGGATTATGGAACATATCTCCCTAATATAACACCCTTCAAAAGAGAGAATATTTTAAGACTTGCAATTCTATCAAGGTAGCATTATTCGTGTTAATACATAATATTATTTTCGTGTTAATAGATTAGATTCGTCTCTTGTTTAACATATTATGTCATGTAATTTTAAGAGGTAGTTTAAGTGGTAACAGACAATCCTTCTGGGTCAAGTCTTGAGGAATTTATCTCTCATGAATACACTTAGTCTCAGTATGGATGATTTACTTTTGATCAGACCAGATAAGAAATTAATCAAAATATACGTAAACTGATCTAAACACTCCTGAACATAATATGCGATGCCGAAAGGCAGGTGGTAGAGTTTGGCTTGTGGAATCAATTTACTCTGTCCTAAAACATTCTGACCCTAGTCTAATAAAAACCAAAACACAAAATCTTTTCCCATACATCTTTGGGTGCTCTATGGCTATTGGTTTTTTCATTCTGTTTGACTGTTTGGAGGAAGCAACCCAAATTAAGAGGGACAAAAAAGGAAATTTAAAAAATAGCTTTTCCACTGTTAAAAGAAAAGGTTTGATTTTGATATGGTGGTGATCTCGGTCTTATCATTTCGTTCTGTTGTCTCCCATTCATATTATCTAGCTTCAGCTATCCATTAAAATTCTTTATCCTCAATCAAACACCAACTATTCCAATGTGTTTTTTTTGTACATCATGGTTGAGTTACGCTGCGGAACAATCAACAAAAAAAAAAAACACCATTTTTAAGTGTATAGAAAGAAGGTATTCTTAATCCACAGAAAAACGAATAAGAGAATATCTCTAAAAATGCATATTATTCAATGCCTAATTCGTATTACATAAGAGAATATATATATATATATAGGAATGACCAAAATTCTAATCGTCTCCATAATAAAAGCAAAATCCCTAATTATACGAAAATTATCAAAAATGAAAAATTACAATCTAACTAATTAACATAAAAGTGTGTGTCATCTGGAGTGTAATAAAACTGACAACATTAAATTCGGAATCTCCTATGATTTATTATTAATTTTTAAATTCATTTCTAAAAATAAAAAAATATGATTTTGAGGTCTTAAATGATGAAATTCAGTCCAAAACTGAAAGAGATCACGACAAAGAGATGAGTTTTAATCATTGACCCATTCCAAATCAAACCCAATGATCTAAGTCAATTCTGAGTATGGCCTATTTTGCCTCTACTATTATTACCTTTTGGCCTTTGGTTGGGCGGTGGACGCGCGGCTGGTTTCCTACTCCAAATAATCTGTTGTCTTCTGTTCTACGTCATTCTGTAACTTGAATGATATTCCAGCATGACAAGCAAATTCCCTGATATTGTTAATTATATGATGCTGTGGAATGTGACTGCACCACTTAATTTGCTTAATGTGGATGGGATTTGTGAATTGGATGGTCCAAGTGCATGTACGAAACATTATCCCATATGCCCAGAATTGCATCTTGTATTTTGACTTATTATTGCAAAAACGGAAGCTACTATGATTCGAACTTTGACGTCTACCCTTTATTAAGCTTTCCCAAGTTTTTCTTTTTAGAGGACTCGTTGCATGTGAAGAACCATGGTAAAGTTCTTCGTTTTGCATTGAATAAACCACATATTACACTGCATATACAGGCCCCTCAATTCCTTTGAGGTTTGTTCTTGAGAACGTACTCTCTAGACAGGATACTAAACACATTAGCTACAACATTGTATAGGTCTATGTGCACGAACGCCCAACATACATCATTCATGGCTAGTACTGTGTAACAGAAACTGAGTATCTAACTGACAAGTTGTAAGTAGAAATGGTTTTAGAAGCAAATGAAATATGAGAATACCAAGAAATGCTACACAACGATTTGGTGCACAATGTTATGCAGTTCCAACTGTCCTTGAAAATTCGACATTTGGTCAGCCAGCCATCAATGCTCTTAATTATTTAAGATAGCTTCAGGGTAATGCAAGTGTCCTGTGTCTTGTTTCCAGCTAGAGAGGAGATAATAAAACATGTTTTGGGCTCTTTCCTAATCTTCCAATGCTTTGCAACTATAGAACTAAGTCAAAAATGTATGTACCAAGAATTTTCTGTCAACATGAACCTTCCAAGTGAGCATAACCAAACCTCTTGTTGCAACTTTCGAAAACATAATACATAAAAGAAACAGACCACATGATTATATTTCGTGAACAATGATACAAAAGCAATATTATGGAGGTCATACTCTATAAAGTAATCGCCTATTACAAAGAACAGAAAGAACTACAGGTCGTATATGTGTATAGCTTCTTCAGGTCCTATGAAAATGGACTACATGGTATGTGACTTCTATGTGCACCACAAAATTTAGGTCTATGATGAAGATACTTATTGTACAACAATACGTATACAGTAATGACCAATGGTGCACAGAGTGCAGATCCAGAGGGTGGAGAGGAATATGTGTCCATAATATACAGATGAAGTGATTAATTTAAAAAACATACTGGCGAAGATAATCCACCCGAGTTGGATGCTTGAGTTTCATAAGAGCCTTTACTTCATGCTTTCGAACCATCTCCCTTGAGATATTCAAGTTCCCTGCAATCTCTCCTAGTGTTCTATCACCTTTGCCATCGAGCCCATATCTTTGTCTAATAACCAAGCTCTCCTTAGGCTTCAGAGAATCAAGCTGCAAAAGATTTTTTTTAGACTGTTACAAGTTTTACTAGTCACAACTCGCAATGCTTACAATTCATTTAGCACAACTGATATAGAAGCTGTCTCCTCTGAAACAACTGTTATGTATTTCTAATTGCTTCGAGAATAGTGACAATTTTAGTTTTCTTTTGTAGCATATTTCAATGGCTATCCAACAGACCTGGGAATGGAAATTCTTTCAAAAAATTTAGTGTGATTTATAAAATGACGAGGTTCATGTGTCAGTGTGGAGTCAATCATAATTGGAAGTCAAGGAAACTATTAGCAATAACAAGGTTGTAGAAGGCAAGAAAAGTACCACATCATCAAGAGCAAGCCTTAGAAGAGCGGGTTGCCTGCGTTTGTCACCTCCAACGCCATCAGTGTCAGTAATCCCATTGATGAACTCTTCTTGTGTTGTCGGATGTCTTCCATGGAGAGAGAAGACGGGTTTTGATGCGCTCATCACTTCATGGTACCTCTCAGGGGAAATTCCAACCTTTTCTATTATCTCTTCCTCTGTTGGCATTCTCGTCCGCTCAAACAACAACTGTAGTTTGGCCTTCTGAATTTCTACTCTAACCTGCATCAGAAAAGCCATCAAAGTTCATACATGTCCAGTTCTCCAAAAGCATTGAAGAACACACATAAACATGTTCAACGAAGTTCTTTGAAGACAAAAATGTGTCGAATTTTATTGGAGTATGATGATCTTTTATACTTTAGGAGGATAAGTGTTAGGTTTGAGCGAACTTGATCCAAACACTTTAAATTATCCAATAATTAGAACTTCATCATTAAAAGATTTTAATGTGTTTAAAATTATCACAATTCTTAATTTGCATTTCTTACACTAGCTCAATCCAATTATACAAACTTGTTTCAAGTCCTTCCCATCTCTGATCTCAAATCTTGATGCTACATTTGAAACCCAACCATCCCCCCCAAAACCAAAAAATAAAATAAAATACACACCCTTTATTTTCTCTCAAATAACATACTTAGCACATAAAATACTAAAAATTTATATCCGATCCCAGTTTGTTACGAATTCATCTCTGGAGAAAAAGCAGTAAATCTATTGGATTCAGAATGGAATATAATGATCATGTTAACCATCAAGCTACATAAACATGGACACGGAAAAAAGCCAGAGTAGGGTCGAAGGAAGCATACCGACTCAAGGCCAAAAGAGACTCGCTTGAAGCTTGAGACAGTCATTGATCGTATGATGGCATGCCTGATCCAAAACAGACCATATGTGGAGAGTCTGAACCTCCTTTTCGGTTCAAAACGATCAATGGCTGTAATCAGACCATTCACTCCCGCTTGACAGAGGTCTTGGAATTTTGGTCCATTTGCAAACTCTTGGAAATATTTATTCATAACAAACAAAACAAGACGCAGATTGTGCTGCAAGAAATCATTGTCATGACTGTCACAGCCAGTTTCACAGGATTGCGTAAAAGAAACATGACAAACACAAACATATCATCTTAAAGTACAATTTACTTTTGGTCAATAAGCTGAAAGTGTAGATACAGTTCTCTTGGCCAATCATATCTAACAGAAACCAAGGATTGAACATGGATTCCGTACATGCATGCGCACACTCACACAAGAGCACATACTAAACAATATCTGTAACCTCATATCCAGTTTTTTTTTTCCTTTTGGAGTGGCTGCATTCATTGTGTTAGTGAAAGAATGTATGCTCATTTCATTTACTTATTACAGAATGTAGTTAACCAAAATCATTGTGTTTAAGATGAGGGAAGATAAGCTATCTCAAACTAAATGGAGAAAGTTGTTGAGCCTCACAAGCTTGGAATTTGAAGACCATAGGCTGGTGGAGGTTTACTAATTTAGTCCTCAAAGATTTAAGTAATAAGGCAAGAAAAGAATTGTTTTTCCAAGTAAATTGGCACATGAAGAAGACCTGATAGTAACAGAACGGAATTTACCTTGATCAGTTTGTTTCTTGCAGCTCGGCCAACTTCCATGTGTTTCCTAAGTTGAATTGCTTTCATATCCGTTGCCTCTGCTAACTCACCATCTGTTGGTTCTCTTCCTAAATCATTTTGCAAGTTCTCCTTAACTTGGAGGATTGTCTAAATTAAAGCAAATAAAAGTTAGCTGAAACAGACTACCAAGTGTTACCAAATAAATTAAAAGCTAATGAAAATCATCTTTCTTCAATCGTTGGCTGGGAAATCAAGGTGTTTGAAGAAGAATTTGGCTCACCTTCATAGGTTGCATCAATTTAAACAACCATGCGTGCTCCGAAGAAAGAAGAACTGGCGGGATCTTCATTTTCTTCCAGTCTAAGCTCACCAAGTCAGTGGAAGCTGAATACTCCCTAACAAGCCTATTAGTTTTTTCATCTTCATCATCCTCAGAGTGGACTCTCTTCTGGGTTGAAGCAACAACTTCGTTTCGCTTCTTCAATGCAATCCTCTTTTCAAGACTCAATCTTTTTGCCTCGTCCTTCCTCTGACTCCTCACAATATTTATAACAGTTCCCTTTTCTGCCTCTTCATCACATTCAGCAATCCTCTTCCTCCTCCGCCGGTTTCTCTTGGTCACACAATCTTTATTGTCTATATCGGAAACAATAGTTCCAGGACTAAGCTTGTATATATTCTCAAGTTTGGCAGCAGCTTCATTGTAGTCCAATTCTAAGGTACACGGTGAAGCTTCATCGATAGAGACAGCCTTTACTCTTTCTGAAGACTTCCTAACTCGTCGAGGTCTATTTTTGTTCTTTTTAGATGTTTCTACAGGTAAGGAGATCAATTCTTGGAGTGCAACTAACGCTGTATTTTTGGTTTTATCTGTTTTGAATGCCAAAATAAATGGTCTTTTCACTGGCGATGGATGAGTTGAGAATCTTGTGCTCAATCCCAAAGGCGTCCGTGCGGCAGAGCTGGAAACAGTCACAACTCCCATGCCAAGTTTTCTAATCAGACCTATAAGATAACTGATAGTTTACAAACGGGTCCTGCAACAATAGATGATGCATTTAATTTTGTTGCAAACAAGAAAATTCACTTCCTGTGCTATAGAGATAATATAATGTAAGATCAATAAGAGTGTTTCACCATTATAGATAAGATAATTTGCTAGATAACCAAAGAAATTAGCTAGTTGAAGAAAAGAAGTAGTTGGACTGATTCAGCTTGTTGCCCCAAAATTGCCCCTACCAATTTTTTTTGGAAAAGGAACTTCGCAGCGGATGATTACAGATTCTGTTACCCATGGACCAAACTAATGTAGCATCAAAAAGCTGATGATTGCATTTGGTCAATTAAGTCAAAAATTATATTCCTATAGCTGTTGTTCATCTTATAGTAGACTAAGCAGTGCAGAATGTTTGTGTAATGTGTATTATTCAATCAGATCCTTCTTAATTTCTAGTATTGCACTACATAAACCTCGTATACCTTCAAAAAAAATAGTTTTAATGAATCGATTGTCTTGATTCTCGAACAACTATGCTTTAGAACCACAGTTTTTCATTATAAGGGACACCCCTAAATCACTGGCTAAAGAAATATAGGATGGTAAAAGTTAGAAACCCCACAAAAATAGAGCCACAACTCAATAGCCCAATTGATGAGACAACTCTATAATGGATCCCAGATCAAAATCAAACCATCTGGGCATCAGGACACCTTACTCAACAACAACACCGACTCTATAACACAAAATTCAGATTGCACGATAGAATAAAACAAATAAAAATGCACTCCCAATTCTTAGGATTCTTAATACAAATTCCATATAAACAGTGTCATCACAGAGCTAGCACCATCTTGTAGGCCTATCAAACATCACACTAACAACCACCAACACCTCAGAACTGGAATAATCAAGATCAGTTGTCGAATAACAAGCAGCAAAAGTTGGCAATGCCACAAAGTTTACACTATACAACATATCTTTGCGCTCTCTCTCTCTATATATATATATCGATTGCATGTTAGAGCTTATTCATCAGGATATCATTAAACTTGAAACTATTCATATTAGCATAGAAAACAATCTTTTTTTTCATGAAAGAAGATAGAAAAAAAGAAGAACAAATCAATACCCGAATGAGTTTGGTAGAATCTTCTCCGAGTTACCGAGTTGACACAGACTCCGGTGAACGATTCACAATCCTGGTCGACGAACAACGTACAGAGAAGAATGTCGGGGAAAACTTACAGAGAATCTCAAAGAAACAGAGAAGTGAGAGAGAGAGTTAACAGAATAAAAATCATAAACAGGCGAATTACGGTGACCACAAGCCTTTTCTCCGACTAATCAACGGTGGGGAACATAGGATGTTAAAATGAACGGTTGATCAACGCCCACGTGACTTATCGGAGTGTTTTGCATAACTGTAGTGATGACGTGGCCTTTGCTGTGGCAGACGAGGTTCTACGTGGCCAGTTGAGAGTGGAAGGTGGGATATAAAGGAGGGGAATCTTATGGATATTGTTTGTGATACGTGGTTGGTCCTCATTGGATGGAAGATAATTACGAAAGTTTATGGGACCCATCCCATATAGGTGGCCTGGCCCATCTCTACGTCGCCCAATTCCAGCCATTTGAAAGTTGCAATTTCCAGGTCTCAATTACAAACCTCATACATCAAAAGAAGGGTTAATCTCATTTTATATTCTGAAAAATTGTTCGAATCTTAATTTGTATTTTTAAAGATCAAAAATTTTAATTTACACTCTCAAAGATAGAAATTTGTATCAATATTTACCCCCAAAGATCAAAAATCTCAATTTGTACCCTCAAAGATAGAAATTTATATCAATGTGCACTCCAAAGATAAAAAATTTCAATTTACACCCTCAAAAATAAAAATTTGTATCAATGTGCACCTAAAACTAAATTGATAAATTATACCTAGATCCCCTCATATTTGTCACTTAATCATTTAGACTTCTTCACATTTAGAATATTACTCCTACATCTTATAACATTTGTGCACGTATAACACGTAACTCATTTTCATTGATATCTATTAATATAACCGTTAAAAAATATAATTTTATCCTAATAAAAAAATATAATTTTATATTACCCTTTATTTTATGTGTTCAATATATTTTAAAGTTCAAAATCTAGTTTACTATTTTAATGTCTAATAAAATGTAAATATTTATATAATGAAATTATAATTTTTTATTAGGATAAAATCATATTTTTTAACGATTATATTAACAGATATCAACGAAAAAGTGGTTATATGTTACACATGCACAAACGTCATGAGATGTAAGGGGAATATTCTAAATGTGAAAGAGTTCAAATGATTAAGTGACAAACATGAGAGGATCTAGGTATAATTTATCAATTTAATTTTAGGTGCACATTGATACGAATTTCTATCTTTAAGGGTGCAAATTGAGATTTTTTATTTTTAGGGATGCACATTGATACAATTTTCTATCTTTGAGGGTGTAAATTGAGATTTTTGATCTTTGAGGGTACAAATTGAGATTTGAACAATCTTTTAGGATGCAAAATAAGATTAACCCTAAAAAGAAACGTGACGAATTTGGATCCCTCCGTTGCCCTTTTCGTTCAATTTTTCTAAATCCAATAATAGATGACTAATATATATAAAATTCTGAATTTTAATGGACAAAATTTTTTTCTTGTAAAAAATTCCTTAATAATGGTTAACACTCCACCAATAATAAAATAAATGAGAAAAAATTTTGTCCATTAAAATTTAAAATTTTACACATGTCATTTATTTAGCATTACATTGAGGAGAATTGAAAAAAAAGAAAAATCTAAATCCGTGACAAGACACCCATGAGTTGACTTTCTGTTATTTGTAATTTTTCCCTTTATTATTAAGGAATTTGTACACGTAAAGCGGAGGTGTTATCAAAATATTATTTTTTAAACATATTTCTAATCAAATACTTCCTCATAAAATAATTTTCATAATAATTATTTTCTTTGTTAATTACAGAATATATATATATATATATATATATATATATATATATATTATATATATACATGCAAAAAATTGGACTTGATTAAAAAAAATTATTTTATGAGTAATATTTCTACAAAAGTGCTATATAGAATTTTTTAAATAATTAAAAAATGACTTGTAAATTAAATGTCAAAAAAAAGATAGGCTTAAATAGTAGAGTTAATTAGGAGAAAAAACAAAGGAGAAATAAATCCTCTTCCTTTTTTAATTTTATTTTATGATGACCAACTCTAATACCGTGGGCTTGATATCCCAATGCCAGAACATGGCCCAATAAAAATCGTGATTTATCATTAGGCCCATAATTCAACCAATGCCCAAGGGGCTAATAACAAGTAGACTGGATTAATGCCCACAGCTATGGTAGATGACCTACAGGCCCAGAAACTCAAGGCTGACTCCCTTCCCACTTCTTTCGTGTTTGAAGCCCATTTATTAACAGTAGTTGAACAAGCATATACAATTAGTTTAGAAGGGTGCTTATCATCCGCATTATACCCTACCCGCCTATGGGTGGGGTTTCCCCAATCCGTTTTACGACCCGTTTGGGGATCACCTTTATTGACTTAGGTGGATAACAATCTGAGCCTCTGACGACCCAATTTGTGGCCCCAGAGATCCAAGCAATTCAATGCACACAAATCCTTGGTCCAAAAAAAACAAACTGCACAAACTTGAATGATCTGAAGAAGAATTTCTGCTTTCTACTGAAATGCAATTAAGATCCTAATAAAAGCCTATTCCGACCCACCAAGTGGTCCGGGGGCTAATTTTAAGGGGACCATTTTGCCTTAATTTGAACGTTTTGAGGCATATTTGTATAGTCATTTTAATGGAAACAACTCATACCTGACTAAAAACACAATGGCAACAATCAGAAAATTAAAACTGCTTTAAATCGTACAGTATATAACTGGTTTAGGACCACCATTGACTTGCTAATAACATGCTGTTTTTGTTTTTTGTTGTTTTTAAAGGTTTTTGAAGTAGATAGTTGCATGTTTAGTCTCCTACTTTCATATATACGTAGTTGACAACTCAGTAAGGTCCCATTTAATAAAATAAAGGTGATAATCAAGTTGAAAGTTTTGGGTTTTGGTACGCTCGAGCTTGCTCCTAGCTTGAATGTTTGCTCAAGCTTAGCTTGTCTCGTTTTTGTACTTGGTCAAGTTGGGGTCGAACTCACAATCCATAATTAGATTTCGGACATCTTATCTATTAAGTTAACAGTGTTACCGCCATAATATTTATATACTATAATGAATTGAGCTCAAGCCTATTGCACTGAGCGACATATTGATCGACATTGACTTCCAATCCATATTAAATGTCTAAAAATGTAGTCATGTTCAATTAATTGCGTGATACAAATGAAATTGAACGAGTTAAAAATAAGTCAATTATGAACAAAACTCAAGTGGTTTGGTTCGTTTAATCGCTATGCAAATGCAAATTAATTCTCTCTTTTAATGCACAAAACTCTCACTCCTCCTGTCAAGGTCAGCACAATAGAATAAACACTTGCGTAGCACCCCACCCTAATTCTATGATCATTACATTTAGGATGGCAAATAGGGAACTAGGTGATATAATATATCTCCTAATCTAAATGTAGATTAGGAAGACAATGAGAATGTAAGAACATGCGGTACTGAAAAGAGAATAAAGATTAGGGTGGCTTGAAGCTTTTCAGTGCTCAACTCTCAGCTGTATTGAAGTTCTTGGCGTTTTTTACTTTATATCTGTCTCTGAATCCATAGGCTATAATATCACATACTAAACCTTTAACCTATAGGATAGTTATTTCATGGTTGCAATTGGTATTAAAAAAAAAAAAAAGGAGGAAAAGTAGTTATTGCCATAGCTCAGCTTGCACAAGTATATGATGTTTCTGGAGATAATAGCTAATTAATTTGGAGTTGTTTTTTTCGGGCTTTCCAATTTTGGGCAAACTACAATGTAGCGAAATTGACTTAGCTAGATTTGTCGATCATGTCGGAAGAAGCGGGTTTATGTGAGAAACAACTCTACACATACTCAATTCGTTTATTAATTCGTGTTTAACGGATCATGTCATATCGGGTTTGTTTATTAATTGATATATACGCGGATCGTGTTGTATATTTCTTTTAATTGACTTCACACTACCTGATTCGTTCATTAATCGTGTTGTGTCAAGTCTACTTGTTTATGATTTAAAAAAAATCAAAACCCTTTAATTTCTTGTTATGTGCATATCATCTTAATCGGTCATGTCATATTTTAACACCCATAAGGATAGCAATATTATTGTATCAAAATTAATTACAAATAACAGTTTCTAATTTTGGTGTCAAAACGAAGTTGACATTTTTTGTAAAAACGACTAATCACAATTTTACCCTCAAAGTTTCTACAGATCGTCACGTTGGTACTTAAATATTGTCTTGTTTGATTTCTCATTTTTTTCAAGTTCTGTTAAAAAAAAAACCCAGATTTTTCTAAATATGAAAATTCTAACTACCATTATCTGTTTGGTTAAACTGATACTACGTCGGGAATTGGAAGAAGAACTGAACATTAAGGACCAAAGTTAAAATCGGATTAAATTTCTGGGGTAAAACCATAATTAAATCTTACAGAAATGGCCTCGTCAGCTTCTTTTTCTTTTTAGTCTATGAAAGGGTAAATGTGGTCTCTCCTTAATATGGGGTCTGGTTCATAATGGTCATTGTTGCGAAGCTAATAGTTTGTGTCCCAAAACAAACATTAAAATTTTTCATCTCAAATCAGTTTTGATGATTGGATCAATGAATTCCAAAAAAAACCCTAAAGGGATCCACTGATTCAACCTTTTCAAATTTCAAATGTAAAAATAGAAGGAAAAAAAAAAGTTTCAAGACCCGATACATTTTAAACACTTTATTTAGTTCTCTCAATCATGTTGGGTAAGACGAGTTTGTGTCAAAAAATACTTCATTCATATTCGATTCGTGTTTAACGAATCATATTATATCGAGTTCGTATGGTGTATGAAATGTATATAACTGATATATACATGAATTGTGTCGCATATTTTTTTTGATTGACTTCACTCATACATGATTCGTTTATTAATCGTGTCCGTGTCAGATTTGATCCACCCGTTTATTAAACGGGCAGTTCAAAAAAAATTTAAACTCTCTAATTTTGTATCGCGGTAACGGATCCTGTCATATTTTAACACCGTTAACCTTATTAAAGTTTCCATATTGATCGAAGAAAATGAACAAATAATCTCGAGGCATGAAAATTGTTAGCTGGGGTTGGAGGAGAATACGATGCATTGCATATGTCAAGGATAAAAGTTTACAAGAAATACGATCAAACACAAGTTAAATTTAATTAACTTAGAAATTCATAAATTACAAATGACATTTAAATTCTCAATACAAGGGTTATACTAATCACCGGCAGTTCCTAGTCATGACTTATCTACGATGAGAAATGCTACTTAGACATAATCTGGGGATCTCATAACTTAAATTCAATAGAATAGACTTCATGTAAAATTCATAATCAATTTAATGATTACATTGAATTAAGTTTTTAATTAGATCCCCAAATTAAGTCTTATAGCATTACTCATCTACAACTACTTATGTTAGTGGCGATGGTTGTAAATGCCTCCCCACATTCTCTTTTATTGCTGGAGAGAGAGAGAGACTGTTAGGGTTTGGACATGTACTTTAGCAACATTTAGGGATCTTAGCAGAATGTTTGCTGAACTCGTTGAGCGAGTTCCTCCGCACTAAGTTGGCAATCAATTCCAATCTATCAAGAAAAAGCACACAGTCAATCATTAGCTTCAATGTATTTCTATTGACACACAAAAAAAAAAAAACAGTACAATAGAACAACAATTTCTTAATTTGTTTTTCATAAATATTATGACAGATAAATCATGACATAGTTTTCAGTGAAACAGTGTGAATTAAGAGAGAGAGAGAGAGAGAGAGAGAGATGTGTTAAGCTAAAGCATCAATACAAGTGAAGTAGCACCTTGTCTCTTTTGAAAATGGTTGCAAAATGAACATTCTCACGATCTAAAAGACAGGAAATGAGAAGTAAAAGTTGAAAAAAAGTATGAAAATAAAAATCAACAGAAGATGTGAAAGAGCACTAACTGGGAGAGCTATAAGCCTAGAACTAAATAATACCCATAAAGCAAAGAAGTTGAGGAGCCTTGTTTAAAACTTGTAAAGATGTTGAAAAAAGTATTTTTCTGCCAAGATAAAACTAAGTTAACTAACCTATGCATGGACTAAACTAAAGGAGTGGCTGAGGTCTCTTGGGCATGTACTGTTAATACTGTCTTCATTTATTACTTGAACTGATAAGGAAAATGCAAGAAAGCTGCATATATATGTTTACGTCTTACCTTGATGGTGAAACAGAGAACCATGGTCTCCTCCATGGTGCTGATGTTCACTTGAAGAATTTCAAGCGAGAGGTCATCTATGGCGGATACTACCGTCGCAGCTTGGCCAGTTATTCGAGGTGATATCGTCTTCAAAAGAACATTCGGGCCTGTAAATTTCACCTCCACATCCGCCACAGCCGATTTTGAATTTGCCACGAGCTCGTTAGCATTGTCAATGGTGGAAGTGGAAGAAGAAGAAGGCGTTGGTTCGAGTGAAGTAGCCATTGTTGGAGAGAGATAACCTTGGTGCAACCTGGGCTTGTAAGGGCTACCCGGTTGTGGGGTACTTGGACTTATGGGTAAGCTGAGTCTGGGGCTTAGTGGTGGCTTTCTAGGGCTAAGTGGTGAAAGCCTTGGACTTGAAACAAGCCTAGGGCTAAGGACTTCACTGTAAACTTTTCTTTGTTTCTTGGCCTCAAGGGATTGTAAAACTTGCTGCAACTCGTTGATGTAGTTAGCAACCCCTCCAATAACTGATGCTTGATCACCCTATGAAAAACAAAAGGATAAATACAAGCCAAATGACATTTTTTTCCCTTCATTTGGGTAACTGGTTAGACAAATCAAGAGGGTTTATGGAACAAAAACAGAAAAAAAGAAAAGAAATGGAATTCTTAATGTGGTTAGGAAAAAATCTGAAGGGTAAATATGCATTCACAAACAAGTACTTGATTGTCAACTTGACCATGTTTTCTTTTCAAGAGAAAGCCCTTTTGGGAGGCCAACTAGATATCATGTTGTGTATACAAACAGAGAGAGAACCTAATCAAGTTGTAAATCAACCCTGCTTAGTTGAGAACTAAATTTTTTTGATAGGAGGTTTTTCGCCTTTAAAATTGCACAGAAGGTATTTTAGGGCCGGTATATTCACATCTTCGGACTCATAATCAAAGAGGTCTCGTGCGATCTCATGCACGACCATGTATCATTAAGTCAGCTAGGCTTCCTGCGGTTATAGAATCATCTGTAGAAATTTCCTGCACCCTCTCTCTATATAAAAAATTTTTCATTTCGCAATGCAAATCCCAAATATACGTAATTACTCATGTGAATTTAAACTTACGATTGTTGCGTTCTCTGGTTGATGACAAAACAAACACAAGGTTAACTTAAAAGAACTCTATAATCTATATATCACGTAGAGTTACAAGTAAGATCACTTACTCTTTTGACATAAAAAGAAGGCATCAGTGAGCGGAGGACCAACAAATGCTCGTTCATCTGCTTCCTCCGGTTCCGTTCCACAGTAATGTGAGATATTTTTTGTTGACCGTCCAGGTTTGCTTCCTCCGAAGAAGCATTCGCAGTGAGCTTGCGTCTCTTGCACTTTGGTGAAGCTTCAAGCTCAGTTTCAGAATCTTGAACAGCACTTGAAGAAGTTGATTTTTGAGAAACTAATCTCTTCATCTTTGTCTCTTCATCCTCCTTTGAACCCTGCAGATTAGTTTCATCCATTGCAGTCATCGGAGATAACTCCGATACGTCGTCTAAAGCCTCGAGGAGACCGAAGATATCGTCCGGTGAAACCGGAGTGACCAAGTTTGTGTCACCAAAGTCGGAATCTTCAAAAAATCACACCAACTACCACCACCCATTATGGAATACTGCCGGCAAACCACCTCTGTGGATACCAAAAAACCACCAGTCAAAGCCGGAATACAAGTTAGAGGGAAGTGAGGGGTGTTAACTGGAAGTGGAAAGAGACACAGATAGACATGAAGATGTTTTTGGTTGTCAAGATCAAGAAAAGATAAATGCAGTAAATATAAGAGCTGAACTGAAAAGACTAAACTATCGCCATCAACTCCCTCTCGTCGATGGGCCTTTTTTTATACGACTTGTGTATTTACCGTTAGAAGCTGTTGGTTGAGGGTATCACATGGAAATCAGGCTGAAATTCGAAGCTAGCACAGAATTCCAAAGAGAATGGCAAGACACTGGATATTAAAGAAGGCGAGTTTTGTAAGTTGGAATTTGAGTTTGAATTTGTCAAATTCATTTTTTAAATAAGTTTAAAATATTATTCAATTTTTGTTTGGTTACAACTTGAGTCAAAATTGAACCCAAGTTGAATATGAATAGTTCGACTATTTTATATATAAACGAGTTGATTATTTTAAACTTGATTTGAGTTTCTTAAATTCATTTTTTTAAATAAGTTTAAAAAAGTATTCAAACTTGAAAGTTTAATCTAGGTTTTTTAAACTCGTTTTTTTAAACAAACTTAAAAAAGTGTTAAGTTCAACTCGTGAGAACCGTTAAAAGCAAGAAAATATTCATTACAATAGTGATACCACGTGGCAAGGTGATGTGATATCACCAACTAATAGTATTAAAACAAATAAGTGTATAGAACCCACAAAAATTTATAACTAACCTGTCTTGTAAACAAATAACTTCTCACCCTCCTGTCATGTAAACAAATAATTTCCCACCCTTCTGTCATGTAAGAAATTTACCTTTTTCATTTGGAGTTTTATTATTGGTAGGTGATATCATGTCATCAATAGTGACGTAGTATCACCGTTTCATTCAATATTTACTCGTTAAAAACTTACTTAAAGAGAGAGAGAGAGAGAGAGAGAGGGGGAGAGTTTTACAGGGGATCACTGTGAGATCCCTTCATTCTACGGCAGCAGTCAAGTAAATTATCGAACGATGATCTCACGGCCACATGCACTTACAATAAATCCGATGAGTGAATCAAGTGGTTCCGAAGAGGAGTGAATCAAAAAAAATCAAGTGGTTCCGACATTTTAATCAAACTTTTAGGGTTCCAAAGTGTACAATTCTAGATTATTATTATATTAATTTACTTTATTGTTTTTGTTATCAATAACCATAAATGAATTAATGGATTATTTGTAGTTACTAATTATTTTTTTGACATAATATCAATTTTTTTCCACTAGAATTTTTTTTTTTAATACTTTTTCAAGTAGTTTACATACAACCAATTTTTTGAAGGTGCTATTTTTAATGTTTATTTTTTGTATTTGTTTATTTTTTTCTTTTAAATTTAATTGCATGAATATGTATGCACTTATATAATTGTACACCATATGAGCAATGCACAATTAATATCTTTTTCATCAAAATATGATAAGGGTTTTTTTTTTCTGCATTATAAGTGGAAAGTGTAGAAAAATATTTTTTCAGAAAAACATGACAAGGGTCTTTCATGTGGCTCATGCAGTGTATGAGACATGCCATTCCTAGGAATGTCTAGCTTGACTTAGCTATGTGTTTCAAGATTGATTTAAAACAAAAGACCAAGATGCCCGTAATTAAGAGTCGTTAGACTCAAATGGAAAAAGGGAGGGGAGTTGTCAATTTCAAAGTTCTATTGTCAGCAAACCTGACCATGGCTTCAATGTTTTATGATGCTGCATTTAGGGTATGGATTTATTGTGGCCCCACATCAGCATCAGGAGCTAGGCTTATCACAACCGTTTGATGTGTAGACTTTTTTTGTTGGATCTGCCATTTTTTTTATGGAAAAAAAAATAAGAATCTTTATTTTATTGAGATATGGAAGTTCATGCCCTACTTTTTTTTTTGTCGGTAATTAGTTAATTTCCTCTATCCAGATTAAAAGCATTAGTTTTTGACCATTCTACTTCATTTATTTCCTAAATATTCTTTATTCTTTTAATTAAAAGGGATATGGGGTACAGTTTTAGATTGGTGATCTAAAAAAAACGTAGAGGTGATAATTTTTAACATAACTTATCAATCCGACACGAAATTGATATGCAATTAAAGGGTAAAACTTCTGCCTTTAATTGTTTAGAAATAGGTTGACCCACCAAGCTCGTTTAATAAATTGTGGATGTAGTGAGCCAGAAGAGTAGAGAGAGGAATAATATTTAAGGGAGTTTTTTTTTCCAAAAAAACCAGTAAGAACCAATATATTCCCATAAATATTTAGAAAGAATGTACATGCACATGTTTTTTCTCCTAAAAAGTATATGGAAAAAAAATAAAACTTGATCAAGTGTCTTGACAAACACCTTGGTTGTTGATGCATGGTAGTGTGAATAAAGAAACAAGATCAAACAATAAAAATTATAATTTGTTGATTATCGCAATAATATCATATTAGAGTCTTCAGGAGCCTTGTTGATTCCTAAAAATACCAAGTCAATTGGAAATTGAAAGAGACTCTAAATTTTATTCATAATAAATTAAAGTTATTGAATCAGTTTTCAACACCATATAAATACGAAACCCTAATGATCCTAAATTACTAAAAAAAATCAACCAAATACACAATATTTTGAAATTACCCCAAACAGTGGGATAAAATAGAAAACTGTCTTAAACGTTGTTTTTCGGCTTAAATATTTTTGCTCAGATTGTCGAGAACTTTTCAGAATGAGGTTTTATGAATTTTTTTGACACTATTGCCCAAAATTAGCGTTGATTCATATCCGATCAACGCTGCTTTCGATGGTCTTGATCTCTATATACTCTTCTGCTATACGTGCCGCTACATCAGTTGTGCCCTTCATGGTCTCGTCTTCTTAGGCTACATCGATGAGTTATCAGAGAAACAACCTTTGGTTCAATCCTCCAACCAAAATTAAAACTCTTGTGGAGTATTTACACTAGGTGTTCATCATCAAAGTTCAAAGTGCACATCTCTGGCATTGTTTTTTTTGTCCTGTAGTTTTAAAGATGAAATTTAAAGAACATAAGGTATGGAAGAGTTTGTCGACTGCAATAATTTATTGATCAATTTGAAAATCAGTGAGGCCGGCGTATCTGTAGGAGACGCAATCTAGTGGTTTTTCTTCTGGCAATCATACATAGAAAAACTGTACGGTGAAACAATCAATTTGATTCTCCAGAATCTGAAAAAGTGATTGTCCAGAAGATGCCTAACATCTTACCGGGGCCAATAATTGAGCATCTGAGATCCATTTTTTTTCTGGAACTACAACTCAGAAATGCCAAATGAACAGTGGCGTTGTAATTATATAAGTTATTAAGATTATGACGGAACAAAAGATGAAGAAAAAAAATTAGAATACAACAAAAATGCAGGTGCTACACCAAACAAGGGTGGTGATTTTTTGTTGTAAGTGATTACAACAAAAAGACTCTATGAATACTAAAACAATTCATATATTGACATTTTGTGCTCATTTTCAAATTTCTGTTTTGTTATTCCCATCATCCACTAGGAGAAATATGTTCTCATTTTGTGTCATAAAAAATTGAGATCAAGATAATAGAAATGCATTTGTTTTTGCCAATTGTATATAAGGGTGCATTTTTAAAATATAAACAAATAAATTTAGTGTAGTCAAATTTGTATTTCTTTCATCTAGGGCATAAAATATAAAGATATGTTGAAAACCCACAGGTGACACCCAAAAACAATTCTACTATGAGAATTTGGGTTCATATACAAGTTGGACCGAAACCAAACCCAAAAACTTAAGCTCAAGCTCAGAGTAATTTATTTCAAATTTTTTGTATTTAGGTTCCAACATCTACAACAGGTAGGAAAGGAAATCAAGTTGACGTTAAGTTCGAGGGTTTGAACTCGTTTTAAATTCAGTTATATGTGAATAAGGGTTCTAACTTAAGGGAATTAAAGTAGTCTTATAAAAGTTTATGTAAATTCGATATCTCGGGATGTGATCACCATTCTGTGAGTAAGAAGAAAATGAATTTAAAAGTTACTTAATTTTGTAATTAGGTATAGTTATCTCAGATTAGAAATAAAGTCAGAAAATGTATTTCTGTGCCTAATTAAGTACAAATGCATTGAATGAAAAAGAAAGCGGTAAATTTCAGTGTCAGAAGTTATCTGCAACGGCCAGCAATGACAGAAAGTATCTGATAAAACGCAGAAACTGAATGGTTCTAATGATAATGAATGCAGAAAACCATGCTTGAGTGGGTTTTAATGGAAGTCGAGAGGAAGTAATCAAATCTGTGCTTATGTGTTACTGTGCATATTTGTTTGTTTGTGTTGGGGTTTTGGGTTTTTTTTTTTTATATAAAACTCTGTGTGAGTGTGAGAGAGAGAAGTAAATGAGCTAGGGAAGGCAGACGAAGGAGATGATGAATGATACTGAGCAAAGTCTGCAACTTGTCTATTAAGACAGAGAGAGAGATTTGAATCCATAGGAATTGAAGGAGGCTTTCAATGCGCAGACACGGCTTCTCCGTGCCCTCTTATGATTAATATGTCGATCAACTTGAATATCTTCAAACCATCTCGAACAGTTAGAAGATCATCTCTCTTCCACCTCTCTCTTTCTCGGCACACTTTATTGCCATGCCGCACACACAGAGTGGAGAGAGAGAGATGTCAACTGTTTTCTTCTTAAGCTGCACTATATCAATTTGTGGAACAAGAAGGAAACAGGAACAAAAGACATAAAGCTGAGGAAGACGACTTGCTTGGATTCCATGTTGCCGGTGGATTAAAAGTGCATCTAAAAATCATAGAGGGTTAAATGACATTACAATCACAAAGATCAATAAATTTGATCCAAAGTAACCTTTCACGGTATTTATTTATTTTTGTTTATAATCCGCTCTTCCAATTGAAACCTATGATTAAAAAAAAGGGTTG